ACCACCGCCATGCGGTACCACTCAAACAATAGGTTAGGAAAACCTTGAATAATGCAGGCTTGAAGCAAGTCACAATCTAGCCCCTGCTTGATCAGTGACTGCTCTGGCACTGCCCCAGCTGACTAGCACCTCTCCTGAATTCACAAATGTACTCCTTAGCGGGGTGGCCTCTTTGCTTCAGGTGGTGGATCTCTTTCTTGGCTAGCAGGGCTTGGGATTCATCTTCAAAATGATCCCTCATCTGCCCCATGAATAGATTAATATTGTGCAATTCAGGAGCCCCTTCATCATGGAGGTTGGTCCCCCAGTTGACTGCTTCCCCTCTAAATTTTCCACCACATCATTCACCATCATAGCCCTGTCCAGGTAGGCATAAGCATAGCGATATAAATGAGCCCACACCTGGTTTAAGAAGGTTAGCTTCTCGGGGTCCCCATCAAAGGTGAGCTTGATGGGAGGCAGCTCGAACCTAGGCAGAGCCTCCTGCATCTGCTGTTGGGCTTGGGTGGCTTATTGGTCCTGGGGACATGGCTGAACCGCTTCTCTTGGCTGGGCTTCAGGGCTGGCATCCTGAGGCCGCAGCAACAGACTTGGCTGGGATACAGGGCTTGGTATCACAGCTGGTTGGGGGATGTGCGAAGCAGCACAGGCCCTGGTAGTTGGGCTGGAACTCCGGTGAGGGAGGGGGAAAAGATGGGTAGTTCTTGGCATTTCCCCCCCCCCCATGGTACTCACCTCCTGGGCAACAAGAATCGTATCCTTTACCTCCAGCCTGCCGAACTTCTCTTTTATCTGTTTGAGTGAGGGGCTGTGGACTGCGGACTTAAATCTCCACTCTCCAGAGTCGTCCCATCCCATCGACCCCTTTCCTTTCTTTTGTTTTTTCTTTTTATAAAGACAATTCAAAAGTACTTATTCAACCAAAGTGTTTTCTGAGTTATCATTCATTAATACAAATTGAATTCCTAATCCCTTGTTCTTTTCTCCAGCCATTGATAAAATGTCCCAAGTTTGAAAGTATTCTGTTTCTTCTTTTTCTTTCAACCTCAGAGTAAGTCTGTCCATTTCTGCACAATCTAGTATTTTTTTAATTATTCCTTCCTCTGGTGGTGTTTCTTCATTTTTCCAATATTGTGCAAATATGATTCTTGCCGCCGTTATCACATGTAAAATCAAATGTATACTTTGTTTATCAAGCTTCTCTGTCATTATACCTAGTAAAAAAATGTTCAGGTTTAAAATCTACAGACCCTTTTCCTTTCTTGCTGTCCGCAGACGAAGAACCCTGGGATGGCAGCAATAAGAGCTCCTCTCCAGCGGTTACAGGTGGGCCCTTGTGCTGAGGAGCAGCCTCGGTTTGAAAGAGGTCCGTTAGGGCTGTAGCTCCTTCCTGTGGTACCAGCTTCCCAGGTTGGATCACCCTGGTCTTCGGTTGAGCCATTGCCAGTGATGCCTCCTTGGTGGCTGGAGCGCCAGTCTGCACTCTGACAGCCTGAGTCCCGTTGCAGCTAGCAGCGGTTTCAATTTCTCCTCCATCTCGAGTCTTCACCGAGTTTTTACCGCTCTCCCAAAAGTGAATGAATGGATAGACGATCGTAGCCAGCACCCCGAGAAAGGAGGAGGAGACTTGTTTAATGTCATGGTTCCGACAGACAGAGACGAATAAAGCAGAACTCCGAGGCTTGCAAATTTCTCAAAGAACATGTTTATTAGTTACAAAGTATCGGCATGTCAAAAGTGAAACCAAGTCTGGACATACATGTAGCAATTCCCAAATACACAGTCAAAAAAAATCCCACCCCTAAAACTATGTAAGCATCTTCTCAGCAGGCTTTTTACACAATGCCCAGCCTGCAGTCACTGGAGCAGCCAATGATCTTGGTTCCCATGGAAGAAACAATTATTTTGACTAGCGAAGCACCTGGACAATCCCCCTCCTTCCATTCTATGTGGCAACTGAAAATGAGTAGGAAAAATGGCTGCAGCCCTGCTCCTTTGTAGAGTTGACACCAGACGTTAAAACTGTATAGAATAGATACTGTCCCAAAGGTGCTTTTTGAAAGGCAACTGGACTTTCTTGTTTTGACTTTTCTCTGGACAAGAAAATCCAGTTGCCTTTTGAAAAACACCTTTGGGACAACCATGGAGAATGTCCATAGGTATGTATAGACACTGTTGCAATACTGATCAGTTGATAGTTAGAGCTTCTATTACCGTAATTCTCTGGATAAGATGAATGCTGTTAAAATGTTGTTAAAAACTTTTATGTTGTGAATGATTAATGTATATTTATCTTAAGATTAAAGTGTATTTGCCGAGGGATTCCAGGGTTAGGCTCTTTAAATGGAAAAAATAATGAGAATGTTTTTTTTATAGTCAACTAAAACCCGTTAAACATTCTTTACATAAATGCAGGTTTATTATGATGATGCCAGTTTCACCTACCAGATTTTCAACTACTATATAATTGGGCTTTTATTTTAACAGCTGTATTCATTTGGAATGAGAATTTTTATCAATATTTATCTTTTTGCACCTACCTGGTGAGTGAATGTGTAAGTCTTCATAGCAGGTTTTAGGATCCAGTGTTTTGTATTTCCTGCCATCCATGAAAGCTGCTAGGCATATTTAGTCATTAATTGGTAAGTGATTAGGTTTTGAATTACATTGATGCTGCAATACTACAATTTTGGAAAGAAATGTTTTTGTTAAGGATCTTTGTGTGATAATCTATATTCCTAAAACATGGAATTTGTCATCAGAAGATAGTATTTGGTGCCATAGAACCTGGACAATAGCCAAGGGAATAATTTTATATAAATAGAAGAAAAAAATGACCTTCCTGATTTTATGGACTTGATTTAAGATAGGAACCTACTATCTATTTTTGAAAAGTGTTTGGTTCTGAAAAGAGCAGTATATTTCTAAGTTACTTAGGTTAAAATTAATCCATATCTCTGACTATTATATATATATATAATAGTCTATTATATTAGACTATTAGACTAATATGTATGTATGTATGTAGGTCTTTGGTTATTCGGGTTTTCTCCCGGGTAAAATTGGAAGTGTCTTGGCGACGTTTCGACGAAGTCCCATTCGTCATGTTCAGGTTGGTGTTTTCAGCTTCATGCTTTGAAATAAAAGAATAAAATATGAATAAAAGAATAAAATACGATCACCGGGAGGGTTGAAGTAAGAATACTTTACTAAAAATATACTTATACTAAAAAGTTGCCAAGCTTTCGCTGGGGGAACTCCCCAGCATCGTCAGGGCTAAAAGGCCATTACAATGACGATGCTGGGGAGTTCCCCCAGCGAAAGCTTGGCAACTTTTTAGTATAAGTATATTTTTAGTAAAGTATTCTTACTTCAACCCTCCCTGTGATCGTATTACTGTTTTTTTCCCTTTTCATATCATAGTAGTTGTATTTCACTGTCAAAATTAAAAGTTTTTTTTTTTAAAAAAAAGGCAAGAACTTTATTTGAGAGAGCAAGCAGTTTCAAAATTCTGTGGTTACATGGAAATGCATAGTTATTGTTTTACTGGAATAGAATAGAATTTAAAAATTTTAAATTCTGGGTCTTGGAATTAGTTCTGAGAATCAGAAGGAAATGGGGATCATTTGTCTTCTACAGCAAAATACATTAGTTGCACATTGTTAAGCAAATCAAAACTTCTTGCAGACTGCTACTAATCTGTAGGACTGATTAGGCATGTGGGAAGTGGTCAAAAGAAAGATTGTGTTTAAAAATGGGCTGGAATCAGCCAGGAAAAAAAAAATATACAAAAGTTCTTGGTACTCTCTGTCTATTCACAGTATAACATCTAAATCAGAACAGAACAGAACTTTCTTATGCTGTGAGAAGGTTGCAAAAGAGAAGTTGAGATCGAAAATGTGCTAGATCTGTCTAGGACAGAGAGAGTCAAGCATTCAGAAAATGCCTAACTTGACTCTGCTGGTGTGTCACATATACACAACCCTTCCCCCCACCCCAACATAAAAAAGAATTGTCTATTTCCCCACCCCCATCTAGGCCACCTTTCTTCCTCTTGGTTGCCCGCCTGCCCTGCCCTCTCCAGCTCATGTGTATATGCAACATACAGATATGATGCAAAGTAAAGACAAACACAGAGACAGCATGTCATTTTGTTACTCAGATCCCTCTTATGGTCACTGCTGACGAAATGGTGGGAAGGCATTACCAAACTCCTGCTCTTCAGGTTTTTCTCACCTTGCTTTCTTAAAAGGTTAAATCATGGCAACTGGACCAAAGTTTATTCAAACCGAGACAAATTTTGGTTTCTCCCCAAAATGAAAAGCAACATGTAAATAACTTATCTTTTTAAGATACTTTTGGCCTGGATGATTGAATCTTCATTTACATGTTGCTTTTCATTTGGGGGAGAAACCCCCTGCAGTCTGTATGGCAAGAGTTGATTCATTCCAATGACTAATCTGACTTTCTGTGTACCCACAGTTTCATTTTGACTGAAGAAGTTACTTGGATGAGAAACGAAACTTGTCTTGGCTTGAATAAACTTTGGTCCAGTTGCCATGGTTTAACCGTTTAAGATACTGGATGATTGAATCTTCCTTTGCATCTTACCTTGCTTTATTATCCTACTGTTACCTCAGAAATAGTTCCCAACTATCAGTATCTTACTTGGGCTTAAATGGAAAAGAAAATGGATTGGGGTGGAGGCAAACTCAGATCACAGTTCTTACCCCAAGCAACGGGGATGAACATAGTGAAGACAACCAAACTGAATGGCTGCTTTGCACGGATGGCAAGTTGGGTTCTCAGCAGGGCACTGGCATAGCTATGCAATGCATCCTTCCTTTCTCTCCCTTGGTTCTGATGGAAAGGGTGATTAAGGGATTCAATGTCTTCCGATGGATTGGTACCCCAAGCTCATTTCATGCCCTAAGACAAGATCTCTTTTTCTTTTTCATTTCCCTATCTTCTCTCTCTCTCTCCCTCTCACTGTGCTCCAGGATGCGTCCTGTCCAAAAATCTGTGTGTGCACTGATGGTGCTGATAGCATCCCTGGCTTTCCTGTATCTTCACGTGTGGTCTCCAAAGCATTACAGTACGGTGGACATGCGACATCGGCCTGATCAGCTGCCCCGGCTTTTGTTGCCCGATGACCTGCTGGTGCCCGACAAGAAATATATGCACATTGCTTTCCGGATCAAAGAGGAGATTCTGCAGTAAGGCAGATTTCTTTACACCCCCACAATTCCTATTTCCTGAAGGCACTATCGATTTCACATCGTACTTCCCCCTTTTTTGTATTTTGCAGCATTTTATTTTGTAATTGTGTACTTTCCTTCCTTTTTTAAATTTGCAAAAGTGTTCTGCCAAGGAGTCCTCTTTTCTTCCTTCTCCTGCCTACAATTCCCCAGGTGTTATTCCTTCCCTTCCTGCTCCCTTCCCTGAGAATTGAGAATCTGATCATCAAAGACTGGCATTTCTGTATAGTTAGGCTGGATTTAGGGTCCAGAGACTTGGTAAACAGCTTACATGTTACATATCAGCAAATCATATAGCCAGTTGATCTTCTATTTTAAAATTGTCCTCTTAAGTTGGCAAGGGTTGGAGAAAATCTTGCATTCTTGGTGCTTGTTTCAACCAGGACATGGCTTGAGTGGCTGAATCTGGGCCAATAAATGTATACATTGCAAGAAGAATGATGGCCTCCAAATCAGTCATTGGAGTTGTGAAACAAGCAACTCATGCAACAGAGAGCACAGTATTCCAAAGTTGAATGACTAGAAGGGTTGCCATCTTCCCCTGGGTTGCCCTTTAGTGAAGGGCTACAGCTGCACACAGTATGAATGAATCTGCAGGTAGCCATCCTCCCTTCTACCTGGCTCTTCAGATACCAAGCATGCCTTTGTGCATTTTCAAGGGCACTTTGTCCATAGTTAGTGTCCAGCCTATCTGTTGTGAAAAGTAAATATTTTTCTTAAACATTCTTAGAAATAAATGGTTGCTCATTTGCTGAAGTGTCTTGCTGTGCAAGATGGGCATCTCTGCATTGCCAGATTGTGATCTAAAGCAACCAGAACATTCTTCTGCAGTGTTGAGTATTGTATCTCCATCCCTTTGGCAGGCTTCTTCCTAAAAATTCCTGTAAATGTGAGGTACAAGCAAGTTGGAACCTGCCCTTTCAGAAACAGCTCTTTGGTCAGGAGTACTCCCTGGAATTTACTAATGGCGTTGAGCCTTCTGACCTGGTGAACATCAACAGCAAACGGGAACAGGAATACCATGGTTATCAACAAAGGTGAGTAATGGCCAGAGCTGGGCATAATCTTTGATGTATAATCTTTGATTGCATCGAGCATTGGATGAGACACCTCAAGCAGCTGATTTTGGCCATTAAGGCTTCAATGAGACAAGTGGCTGCTAGTAATGAGCAACATGACCAATGAACAGAATGCAGGGTACCTTATTGATATATAGGAGGCAACAAGCACATGCAGAAATATGCTTGACAAAATCTTATATAAAATATGAACGGCTTGGATTTTATATTAGGTTTCTACATTGTATCAAACATGAAAAGAGAAGATCGTAAAATCTATAGGATTCAAGGTTTTCCTTTCCAATGCCAAACCTCTTTAGCCTGAATGTGTTCAGTCCAGTTTTAGAGAGTAATTATGCATAGATTGTTTTATAGCTCGAGCAGAAAAGAATATTGGTAAATAAAATCAAGACATTGCCCACTAAAGTTTTCATACAAACTTAACGCAAATCAACTTGGCAGACTTTCTTCACGGGGTTTTCCATGATGAGAGCACTAAAACTATAAAAGCCATCTTGCTTGTTGTTCTTTTTTTTCCTAGCCATTAGACACCTATGATGGATGATGGCTTGTAAGTTATATAAGAAGAAGCATTTGTTAAGGAAACTGGTCCTGATCAAGAGTTTGCATTTCTCCCATATTGGAAGCCAACAAGCTTTTTAAAGAATTCTTGGCAGTGTGTCCTGAAAATAAGTGGTATTCATAATTTGCATTGATGGCATTTTGGGGTGACAGTTGCCCCAAGGGTTAAGGGTAGCACCTTTTCAGCTGGGATTAGCTTGGCATGTAAACATGGTGTTCATGCTGTGAAATTTTCGTTAATTGTTTTCCGCAGTATGGCTTATTTTTGGTTGAAAACAGTGAGACAGGCATAGTCATTCCACCCAGCCAGCAGCTTTCAGCAGCTCATAGAATCAGGGTTTGTTTCATAGATGTCAGTTCCCCATGCCAACAAACAAAGCACAAACAGACCCATCCCTTTCCACACCCATTGCATGATTTACAAATGTGGTTGCCTGTCACCCCCAGTTAGATCCTCTCTCAACTTGCAGGCTTTCTGATATAATGAAAGAGTCTTTGAACCAATGAAAAAAGACAGAGCATATTAAATTTATGGGGAACCTAATAATCTTCCAGACATTTATTGCTAAATTCTAACAATATCTCTCACCATTGACTATACTGGCTGTTGAGAGTTATTGTTTAGCAATTGATAAAGGGTAAACCAAGAAGTTTTTTAAAAAAAGAAATCAATAATATTCTGAATGTAGTTAATGGCAAATGACTTCTCTATATGGTTATCAAGAAAATAATATAAATATTTCCCGAGGACACTGGGAATTGAGCTCAACTTGAAGAAAGCTTTAGTGAACCGCTGTTAAGATACCACTCCTGTTTTTAGGCTAAAGTAATCCATTATTTTACTTGAAGTAGTTTTCCAGTAGCACTCAGTGCTGTCCTTGAGCATTTAAATCAAGAGTGTCCAACCCTGGCAATTTTTAAGAGTTGTAGACTTCAATTCCCAGAATTCCCCATTATGGTTGAGGAATTCTGAGAGTTGAAGTCCACAAATCTTAAAGTTGCCAAGGTTGGACACTCCTGATTTAAAAGCTTGTGTGGCAGGATTAATTGACCCATGGATTAGAAATATCTCTGGACAACCTTTCATCCTTACGGATATTGAACCGACATACAACATTATTTATTTTTGTATTTTCAAATAAGTCATGACTCTTAATTACTTTCCTGCAGTTTTCTTAGCAAAATTACAGAAGTGGTTTGGCCTTGCCTAATTTCCTAGGGCTGAGAGCGAGGGATTGCACAAGTCACCAGTATTTGCATGTCACCAGTTCGTTTTTAAAACGTGTGGTCTTCTAGCTTCTAGTCTAGTTCCTAGGCAGTGCCATTAACCATAATACAAACACCCAACTTGTGTTTCATTAGATTCTCTTTATCTAGTTTTAAGGCTTGCATGGAGAACAAATCATGTGTTAGGTAATACATATGCAGAAACACTGAAAATTCAAAAGAGTCCAGAAACATTTAAGCACCCTTGTACATGAATTACAAGCACAGAATAAGCAGCTTACTGTGCACGAGCTAAAGCAAATAAAATATTCTCAGTCAGTTTTAAATGTATGAGCTACTGTTTTAAATTTGTTAGCCAGATAATTATTATTACCAGGCAGTTAATAATGCAAGCATGAGTCGATTCCAGACATAGTAAAACGTGGAGGGTAGAAAGTCTGCTAGTTGTAAAAGTATCTGACAGAACAAAAGATAAGCTGAATTTTCAGAAGTTGATCACTGAAAAATTCACATCAAACATCTTTAAGAACAGCCTTTGCTTGCTATGTTCAATATGGATTGTAATAGAACTCTGATTATATTCAGGGATGGTAGGGAAAGATGTGTTCAGTGAATCTGAAAGATACCATCTGGAGAAGATGACACTGCACTACCAAGTAATTCCCTTGCTCTTTTTAGAACTGCCTCTAAAGGCAAATAACATATCTATGAAATTATCCGGAAATTGCCCATGTGAGCAAATCTATTTTTGGAACATACTTCTTAGAAGCTAGAAAAACATGGGATAAATAGCACAGCACCAGATGAGTTTGTAATTGGCTGATAAATTGGACATCCACACGGAGGGGAATAAACAGTGGGGTACCCCAAGGCTCCGTTTTAGGCCCAATAATACTCTTCAATATCTTCATAAACGATCTAGACAAGGGAATAGAAGGGGAAATCCATCAAATTTGAAGATGACATTAAACTGGCAGGAATAACCAACACCCCAGAAGACAAGCTCAAGATCCAAAAAGGTCTTGAAAGACTTGTATGCTGCGCCCCATCTAACAAAATGAAATTTAATGAAGATAAAAAGTAAGGTTTACACTTAGGCAAGAAAAACCAACTGTATAGGTACAGACTAGTGAAACATGGCGTAATACCAGTAACTGTGAGAGGGATCTTGGAGTCCTAGTAGACAATCACTTAAATAAGAGCCAAGAGTGTACGGCAGCAGCCAAAAAAGCCAATACAACCCTGGGCTGCATTAATAGAGGGATAGAGCAACATCACATGAAATTCTAGTGCTGTTTTACAAAGCCTTAGTAAGACCGCACTTGGAATATTGCATCCAGTTTTGGTCAACACAATACAAAAAAGATGTTGAGACTCTGGAAAGAGTGCAGAGAAAAGCAACAAGAATGATTAGGGGGCTGGAGGCTAAAACATACTAAGAATGATTACAGGAATTAGGTATGTCTAGTCTAATGAAAAGAAGGGCTAGGGGAGACATGATAGCAGTGTTCAATATTTGAGGGGTACCTACAAAGATGAGGGGTTCAAACTATTCTCCAAAACACCCTAAGGCAGGACAAGAAACAATGGACGGAAACTAATCAAGGAGAGAAGCGGCCTAGAACTAAGGAGAAAATTCCTAACAGTGAGAGCAATCAGCCAATGGAACGGCTGGCCTTCAGAAGTGGTGGGTGTTCCATCACTCGAGGCTTTCAAAAAGAGACTGGACAACCATTTGTCTGAAATAGTATAGGGTCCTTAAGGTCCCTTCCAACTCTATTATTTTATATTTTATGTTCTAAGTTACTTAATTGTTGCAAATCATTCTCTCCTGTCATCTGCTATAGACCATTTGGATTGGAAATGCCAGAGCTGAGACTTCTTCAGGAAGAACTTACATTATTAGGCTCCGGAGCCTCTGACTTTTCCTTTTGGTGACTGAACATGTAGACAAAAACTTTCTTATGCCCTGAAAGTTGACATTAAGTGAAAGTGTTTATTTCTCTTCCCGTTCTCTTCTTTTGTGTGCCCAAAACTCTTTTAAAATCAATAACATTAAAAATCTCCCATTGGCCTTCCATTGCTTAATGAGACATTAACACTCAGCAAGTGCTGTAAATTAAAATGTTTAATTTTAGTGTGTAGCAGTGAAAGAGTTAATGACATGAGACTTAGATGGAAAAAATTCTGTGTTGCCTCCCTCCCATTCCTGCTCTAAGCATGTACTTGTTTTGCTGGACTTAGCTGGATTCTTTATCTCCCATTAGTCACTGATGATATCAGTGCTTTAAATAATCAGTGAAATATTTGCAGAAAGCTAAATCATACTGAGATTTAGCCTGTGCTCTCTTGCAGTGGGAAGGGTATAACACGTTCACTTTTTCCCCTCATAAAACCTAGGTACAATGACCAAATGTTCTGAGAAAAAGTAAGGGAGAAACGTGAAAAAGGGACAAATCTGAAAAGTAAGGATTAAAAAAAAATGTCCATTTTGCTTTACAAAGAAAAATTTAAGAGCAAAACCAAGGCAAACTTTACAAAAACATATATTCTATTTTTTTTTAATCTGTTCAATCATGTCCGGTTCTCAGAGACTTTCTGGATCAGTGCCTGTAGTTCTCTTGGCAAAGTTTTTCAGAAGTGAGTTGTCATTGCCTCCTTAGATTTGAAAGAAGGTGACCAGCCTAACATCAGTCACCCAGATGGTTTTATCCCTAAGGCAGAACTAGAACTCACTATCTCCCACTTTCTAGCCTGTTGCCTTAACCATTACACTGAATTGACTCTTGTATGCTAATGAAAATATCTAAAATCAAATGGTACAGGTAGTGTTTGACTTATGACCACTTGTTTAGTGACTGTTCAAAGTTATAACGGCACTGAAAAAATTGACTTATGATAGTTTTTCACATTTATAACCATTGCAGCATCCCCCTGGTCATGTGATTAAAATTCAGTCACTTGGCAACTGGCATTATCTATGATGGTTGCGGTGTCCAGGGATCATGTGATCACCTTTTACAAGCAAAGTCAATGGGAAAGCGAGATTCAACACTGTAGATAATTCACTTAACAACTGAGGCAAGAAAGGTTGTAAAAGGAGGCAAAACTCACTTAACAACTGTCTTGTTTAGCAATGGAAATTTTGGGTTCAATTACCTGATTATATATGTCTATGGCAGTGATGGTGAACCTTTTAGAGAATGAATGCCCAAACTGCAACCCAAAACCCACTTATGCATCGTCGAGTGCCGGGGTGTGTGGCCCATTGGGTGGGCGTGGCTGCGGTGGTAATAGCAATCTGGGTGGGACTAAAAAGTTCAATCAATCAATTCCAACTTTGCAAGATCTTTTTTTTCCCGTGAGAAGTTGAAATTGACTGATTGAACCTGGTTTTTTTGCACACGGTGGTGGAGGCCTAAAACGAAAAGGTTTTATAAATCCCAGCTGAAGGCCTACGACTGGGGCGACGGTGCGCATGCCCACAGAGAGGGCTCTGAGTGTTGCCTCTGGCACCCGTGCCATAGGTTCACCACCACTGGTCTATGGACTCATCCAAGTCATAGTTGTCCCAAAGGTGCTTTTTCAAGAGGCAACTGGACTTTCTTGTTTTTCTTTGAAGCTGTTTCGCTTCTCATCCAAAAAGCTTCTCTGGCTTTGAAGCTTCTTCAGCTTCTTGGAGGAGAAGCGAAACGTCTTCAAAGAAAAACGAGAAAGTCCAGTTGCCTCTTGAAAAAACACCTTTGGGACTACCTGATTATATATAAATTTATTTTAGAAAGGCAATTCAGTTTCCATATTTTTCATATGAAAGTGAGAGATTATACTAAATGGTACAATTTGTATGATAAAAGTTAAATGACCAAACTAAGGGCAAAAGTGAATTTTTGAAAAATCAAAACATTTTGAAATAAAGGACTGTCTTTATAATAAAGAATGTAGTTATAGGGCTAAAAATTGTTATGTGCCATTCTGCAGTCTTGTTGACATATTTCAGTTAAACTAACTATATTAGGAAAGATGGAAAGGAAACTGTATGATGAGAAACCATGGGAAATATATGCAAAATATTCATTCATTCATTCATTTATAGGATCTATATGGGCGCCCATCTCAGAGCAATGACTCTGGGCAGCATATAAAGTTAAATCAATAATTAAGCCATTCCAAATGATAAACATCCAAGGTTACAAATAACCATTCCAACTTACTGGGAAACAGTATCATTTGATAAGACAAAACGTTGATTGGTTGTTAGTCTCCCTGAGCACCATGTACTTTTTAAAAATGATTATAATTAATTGTGCCTTCCTGTCATGGGAAATCAGAAGCATTTCTGGATTAAATTGTATTTCAGGTACATGAAGTACAAGTTCCCAGAAAACTATAAAATATTAATTACAATGAATGAATGTAATGTTTGATCTTCCCAGTAATAGGAAATGTAAATCCCAGTGAGCAGCATGAGGCTTAGTTTTGAATAAATAACCTGCTAGACTTATTCCAGGACGCCTGAAGTTCTAAATTTACTGCCATGAAAATAATGCAAATAATGGATTTCCCTCCTTGTGAACAGGCTTAAATATTAGCCACTGAGGACCAGAACAGCAGAGGAGAGTATTAAGCAACTATGTTTTAAAGTAACCATGGCAAGAAGCTGCTTGGCATGTGTAACTGTCATTCCTCTGAAGTATTTTTGCTTATCAATGAAAGCCAGATGTTGGCACTCTAAACTGCCTGCCTTTGTCTCCATCAGGTCTCAATCTCCACTTGATCAGCTGATCATTGTCCAAGCCAACTCACCACTAGAATATCCAGTTCAAGGTGTAAAAGTTCGCCCCCTCCAGACCATTCTTATTCCAGGCAAGCCTTTTATTTTTTGTGCATGTCAAAAGAAGCAAAGAGAGAAGAGAGTGTCTGTCTATCACAGTGTAAGAGTGTGTGATGAATGTAATGGCACATGGAGTAGCAAAAACTTTTCACTTTCGTGTGTTTTTTTCCCCACAGGCTTGAGCTTGCAGGCGGCTGAAAGAACATTATATCGGGTAAGATAGCAATAGCACTTAGACTTATACACCATTCATAGTGCCTTACAGTCCTCTGTAAGTGGTTTACAGAGTCAGCCTATTCCCCCCCAACAATCTGGGTCCTCGTTTTACTGACCTTGGAAGGATGGAAGGCTGAGTCAACCTTGAGCCCGCCAGGAACGAACTCCTGGCAGTGGGCAGAATTAGCCTGCAATACTGCATTCTAGCCACTGCGCCACCACAGCTCAGTGGTTTTTGATGCCCAGCAGTTGGAGGGCAGGGTTAGGGCGTGGGTCTCTCACCCTGAGGCCACTTTATTAATTGTTGCTGGCATTCATGAACTGTAGCACGAATTAAGGTTCCTTTATGTGGGCTATCCTTTTGGCCTGCTCTTTGAATGTTTCCTCCTTTAAAACAGGTCTGGCAAGCTTGTTTTGGAAGGAAACATAATTTTCTTGGAAATAAATTTTGGAAGCCATCAAAAGGGCTGTCAGTGATTAATAATTTCACTTGTGTTTCCATTGTCATGGCACTAGGCAGTGCTGGGACGCTCTGCTTAGATGCCAGCATAACTTGGATGGATTTCTGAAGTGTAAGGTTGACATAAGAAGAGTAGCCCCGATGTCTAGAAAAAGGGGGCGTTGAAAAATGTGCATATTGCTTGTTAACTAAAATTACACAAAGGAGTGTAGGGGTTTTTTTGGTGCAGAGGGATAAAAGGAATAGAGCATTCCAATATGTGTATAGACTCCCATATGAAAGGGGGCAGGTCAGGAAAAGCTGATTGCCTAATTTTGATGAATCAGGATGAAAGGTGTCCTTTTTCTTTAGGAGTAATGATAAGATTTTTTTTTAACAGCCCATCTCCACATGATCCTTACATTCTTTTTCCCCCCCTGGTTATTTGTCCTTATGGCAGGTCAACCTGACAGCAAAAATGGGTACTTTTGATGTGGCTGCGGAGGTAGAAGGCGTCAAAGTGGAAGGGGAGGGACAAATGCACCTCTCCCTGTCCGGATCCCAACTGGACAATCTAAACCGGCAAATGCAGTTTGTCACCTACACTAACACCCTCTTCCATCCTAATACAGCAGATATAGGTGGGTATGGGGGCAATCATTACCACTGCAAATATCAGTAGTGGGGCAAAGCACTGGAGGGGAACTGTAAACATCACTGTGAGAAAGGAGGGCAAATTGAAAAGGAAGTTGCTGGAGGTGGGGAGAGAAACACTTTGAGGCAGGCCAGTTTTTCCAATGTTTCCCCCCTCAGGTATATCCATTGTCAGTCCTTCACTGGAGGAGTCCCCACCTTAATATACATAATATGGGACTATTGTGGTAAAGGTAGAATTCTCCTCGAAACAAACTTCACTAGATGGACAGATCCATGTTGTTTCCTAGGCAAAAAAACCCGACTACTGTCATATTAATACTGGGCAATAGTATTGTTTGCCATGGCTTTCTCCCTAGATGTCGTTTTAACTTTCCTGATGGATTCCACTAGTTCTAGTATGAAACCAAAAATGTGAGCTATCAGGCAGCCAGAATTCAAATCTTGCTCTGCTGATGAATAATCTTTGTGTCATGGTTCCAACAGACAGAGACAAATAAAGCAGAACTCCGAGGCTTGGAAATTCCTCAAAGAACATGTTTATTAGTTAAAAGTATCGGCTCAATCAAAAGCAAAACTGGTTCATTGTAGAATTGACACTTTGCTCAAGCTAGAAACCAGGAGACCATGAGTTCTAGTCTCGCCTTAGACATGAAAGCCAGCTTCATGCTTTGGGCTACTCGCTCTCAGCCCAAGCCACTTCACAGGGTTGTTGTTGTGGGGAAAATAAGAGGAAGGAGTAGTGTGTGTGCCTTTGCCACTTAGAGTTATTTATAAAAATAAGGTAAAATAAAAATAATCTAGGTAAAGCTATAGGTTTCCCTTGCCCAGTCGTGTCTGATTCTAGGGGGCAGTGCTTATCTCTGTTTCTTACTCGGGGGAGCCAGCGTTGTCCGCAGACATTTCTGTGGTCATGTGGCCAGCATGACTATACACTGAGGAGCATGGAAAGCTGTTACTGTCCCATCGAAGTGGTACCTATTTATCTACTTGCATTTGCAGGCTTTCAAACTGCTAGGTTAGCAGGAGCTTGGATAAGAATAGGAGCTCACCCTATTGCACGGAGCTCAGGTCTTGAACCCCGGGCTGTTAGCTCTCCAGCTGACAAGCTCAGCGTCTTTAACCACTGAGCCATCATGCCTTCCCAAATGATCTTAAAAATTAAAAAAAATTAAAAAACCCTTGGGAAATCTCTTTTGCTTCCTATGGCCAGTTCCTAATGTGGAGGTAATTGCTCCAGTTTGCAGTTTGGGCAGTTCCTATTGTGATCTTACCTATTTGATTCAGGCCTGCAGAATCGACTGGCTTTTCCTTTTGAGAAATGTTTCAGTAATAGAGAAGGCAGTGGATGAATTCTCTTTTGCTGTCCTGAAAATCCCCCAAGTTTCACTACCCCAATTCTGCAGCATCATACTAAACATTGATAATGCTCTTGGTGGGAAGTTTTTTTAAAAAATGATTAAGTCTTTCCTAAGCTTAGCAACTGATAAAATAATAATAATAAAAAAACATATCTCCAAACTCCAAAAGAGTTGAGGTGTGATGGCCTTTCCCAATCCCACATAGCTAATCAACTTCCTCTAAACTGAAAAGTAGAACATGGCCTTTGGAGATGTATAGGTCTGTTATCTGCTTTTTTGAAACTTGCGGCTTCTTGGGGTTTTGTTCAAGATTTTCATAGAAGTAGCACATTCAAGGGCTGGGTGAAATAAGGAAGGAAGGAAGGAAGGAAGGAAGGAAGGAAGGAAGGAAGGAAGGAAGGAAGGAAGGAAGGAAGGAAGGAAGGAAATTCCATGAAGATGACTTAGAGGAACAATACTTCCATACAAGATAATCCTCATCTTCTAACCCAGCGGTTCTCAACCTTTTTATACGGCGACCCCCGGTCACACGAATGCGCCGCGCATGCGCGACGGCGCCTCTAAGTGCGGTGCGCATGCTCGTTGGCACCCCCATGTGCGGCGGCCCCATGCGCGGTGCGCATGCGCAGCGGCGCCCCCTGAGGGGGAAAATGGCGGATCGCGTTGTTTGGCGACCCCCGTAAAATGGTCGTTCGACCCCAAATGGGGTCGCGACCCATAGGTTGAGAACCGCTGTTCTAACCTTTTCTTTACTGACCATTTGAAGTTACAGTGGCACTGAAAAAGGTGACTTATGACCAGTTTTCACACTTAGAACCGTTGCAGTATCTCCGTGGTCATGTGATTAAAATTCAGGCACTTGGCAACTGGCATGTATGTTGCTTTCCCAGTGAAATAATGGCTGTGTTACTAAATAACTATGTTCCCTTTTCCCTGGTAATACTTTTATCCAGGAGACATTTCTGGCATACCAGAGAAGCAGTCTGCAGTTCTGTAGAGTCAAGCTATTCTTCCGTTCTCTTGGCAGGCGTTTGACTGAGAGGGGGAGGAGGATGTTAGGCCTTGTGCTGCAAATTTCCTTTTTTTTTTAATGACCTGTAGCTCTTTGAAAGGAGGCACTGTGCCGCCTAACACCAGCTCTGTCCTTTCTTGGCAAAGCCCTCACTGAAGAACAGGAGGAATGTGCTGAGAATGGTCTTTTCAAACCCAGTCATTGCCTCTCAGCATTCCTTCAGGTTACTGTTTTTACCCCTAGATCTCTTTTCTGACTTGATCTTTACCAGATTTGCGTTCTGGTAGAGCTAAGTCAAGTCACCATCTAAGAAAGAGAACAGAAGGACTTGTGATAGCATATGGCCACAGCTACTTGTTTGAAAATCTTCACAGGATCAGCTCCTACAGTAACAGACCAGTGGCCCATCTAGGCCAGCTTATTACATCTTGTGACCAAAAGGTCTCTTTGGGAAGTCCACAGAAATAATAATTGTTTTTGATCTGAGAATGGCACCTGGGCTTTTTTGTGACTAATAGTCACTGATACCCTAACCCAGGGATAGGCAACCTTGGCTCTTTTATGACTCGTGGACTTCAACACCCAGAATTCCTGAGCCAGCTATGCTGAGAGGAAAGGGAGAGTTTCCAAGCTGAGCCATGCTGGCTCAGGAATTCTGGGAGTTGAAGTCCACGAGTCATAAAAGAGCCAAGGTTGCCTACCCCTGCCCTAACCCTCCTTGTCTAATTCTCTTATGAAGCTATCCAAGCTAGTAGAGGTCATTGCATCTTGAGGCAGAAAAACCATAGTTGTTTAGGATAGGGCTTTTCAACCTGTGGTACGGGTACCACCTGTGGTACATTGGCACCTGGCAGGTGGTACGCGACCATCCTATAAAAGTGGTAGCAGGGGAGGGGAATGAGCTGAACCGGTGACAGCACCGCATAAGTCTGAGTGAGAGATGGCTTGAGCTGCAGGGCTGTCAGGGTTCAGCGGAAGAGCCAGGATCAGTGCCACTTTCTAGCTGATTGGCGCTTCTTTGGGGCTGTCAGGGCTCAGTGAAAGCACCAGGATCAGCTCCAGGCTCCAGCTGGAGCTCGGCGCTGATCCTGGTGCTTCTACTGAGCCCTAAAGAAGCACCAATCAGCTGGAAAGCAGCACTGATCCTGACGCTTCTGCTGAGCCCATAAGTGCTGATCAGCTGGAATGTTGCAGCATCTCCAGGGTCTTGTGATTTACATTCAGATGCTTGGCAACTGATTCATATTTATGACAGTCACAGTGTCCCAGAGTCATGTGAAGTGATCAAAACCTGCTGCAACCACCCAGCAGACGGGAATAAAAACCAAATACCCCCCACTCCACCCCCACTGCCAATCTCAACAGAAATGCTCACAACAATGAAAACTCAGACAGGAGGAAGAGCGCAGCCGGGCATTGTTTTGCTCAGCTGTGGCTTGGGGGGGGCACTTTTTTCAGTGCCATTGTAACTTCGAACAGACACTAAGTGAACTGTTGTAAGTTGAGGACTACCTGTACTTTATCACTTTTTTCCTTTTCGGGGGGGGGGGGTTCATCAAGTTTTTGACACCTTGCTAGGCAACTGGTGGTACTCGGATGTTGCCATATCCTAAAAGTACAATGGGTGAAAAGGTTGAAAAGCCCTGGTTTAGGAGAACAGCCTTATATTGATCTGGAGTCTCCCATCTTTTAACTTTGCTAAGTTGTAACCTTACAAGAGTTTTAAAAAATGTCCTACATAATCTTATGCAAGGTTAATGCATTACATACAACACCTATGTTTGTATAATGCTGAGCCAGGATTTTTAATCATACAGGTACTCCTCAATGTACGACCACAATGGAGCCCAAACTTTATGTTGCTAAATGAAAAATTTGTTATCTGAGCTTTGCCCCATTTTACAACTTTTCTTGCCCCATTTGTTAAGTGAGTCACTGCAATTGTTAAATTAGTAACACGGTTGTTAAGTGAATCTGGCTTCCCCCTTTGACTTTGCTTGTCAGAAGGTTGCAAAAGGGGATCATGTGACATTGTAACCGTCATAAATGTGAGTCAATTGTCAAGCATCTGAATGTAAATCACATGACCATGAGGATGTTGCAATGGTTATGTGTGAAAAATGGTCATAAGTCACTTCTTTCAGTGCCGTTGTAACTTTGGTCACTAAGTGAACTGTTGTAATTCGAGGACTACCTGTAGTTTATTGCCTTAGTGCAGTAGCTCCCAACCTTTTCTATACTCTGCACCCTAGAACACTTCTGATATATTCTTGCACCCCTTAAGTTCAAAAAGTTCAAAATAACGGCAACGAATTATGCATATACATTATAATTTTGAAGCCTCTAAACCCCAGTTTTCGCACCCACTGGGTTATCGTCTCGCAAGCACCTCCAGTTGGGAACCCCTGCCTTAGTGGCTGATTCACATGAAAACCTAAGTTGTGGTGTGTAGGGTTTCTATTAGCTAAACTCAGACTAAGCCAACCATAAGTGCCTTAAGGACATGCAAACAAGGGAGAAAAGTTGATTCCCAAGCTAGAAGCATTTTTGGTATTATTACCTTCCTCTTCATAATTACTCAGTCTGTTCTCCTCCAGATATGCTAACCTGTCATTTCGCCATAGAGATTATGGTCATGGAAGTCTAACATCTAAAGGGCACTAGGGTAGGAAAGTCACATCCAAAACTAGTGTTTGGTCTTCTCCTCTGTTTTCCAGTGCAGTTTTCTACTGATGAGCATCGTGCATCTTTCAGCATTCGCATCCAACATCCACCTACTCCCAAGCTCTACTATCCAGACTCATCCAGTGGGGGAGCTAGTGAAGGTGAGTGTGCCAGATGGATAGTAGTTGTCCCAAGATTTCATGTGGGAAGTATTCCCTGCTGGATCTCACCTGAGATTTGGAAAACATGAAGTTAAATGGTATTCTTGAATATCTGCAGGTGGAATCATGTATGCTCATCCCTTTCTAAGTCCACTTTCTCCAGAGTTATGCTATGGTCTTTTAAAACAGGCCAAAAAAGAAATCAGAAAAACGAGGGGTCCTTTGTGCACTCTGAGCTTGGTTGTTTTTTTGCAGAAGTTTCATTACCCAAATTAGGTAACATCACTGTTAGCACTGATAGTGTTACCTAGTTTGGTAGTGAAACATCTGCAAAACAACAACAACAACAACAAAAATAACAACCAAGCTCAAGAGAGCCCAAGGACCCCTCATTTCAACCCTGAACTACAAATATTCTCCTTTATTGAAATCAGAAAAGTGCCCAGAGTGTCCTGTCTTTACCCATTGCCATGTCAGGCATCCATTTGTAGGCACTTATTAGCAAATTGCGTAAGGTAAGGGATCTTGTGTTTAGGATGAGAGTAATTCTTGCTCTCTAGAAGCCAGTCTAACCACTAGAGGAAGATTGTGGTGCCCTGATCTGCTGTTGGTGGAACAGTCTTTCCAGGAGCTAAGCGGCTTCTGGAGTGTCCTTGCTATTGTTGTTATTCATCACTAACTATTAATTGCTTGAGTTTTGGTTATTTACGTATTTATTTATTATCAGGTTTTGGTGCTGCTCCAGTCAGAACCTTCTAAGCAGCTTATGATCTGCCTGTTGTAATAAAGGTGGGATCGTGAAAAGTATAAGGAACAGCAAAACTAACAGGGAAGAGTCAGTTTCACTTTCTTTTAGTCTGAAAAATAAACATGGTGAAGAAGAGTACAATTTTTGTTCATTTCTTAGACATCCTGCCAAATCCTTCTCCAGCTGAACCCTCTTGCCGACTTTCCTGTTTTGTCTCTCCCAAGGAACCTACAACATCAGTGCCCTGGTCACCATAGCTACCAAAACCTTCATACGCTATGACAAACTGCGAGTGTTGATTGACAGCATCCGCAAGTTCTACCCCACTGTGAACATCATCATTGCAGATGATAGCCTGGACATCGAACATGTGCAGGGACCCCACATTGAGCAGTACTTCATGCCCTTTGGCAAGGTAGGAGACATGCGAGGGGAATCCTCAGGCCTAGACTAGGCCATCTTCTTAAAAGAATTACAAGTTTGGGAAGGATTTAGTCCCAGAGGTTTGGGGAGTAAAAAAAAGGTTTGAGGAACCTCTGCTAAAAGGAGCTCACTCCGTGGGCCTTTTATGCTGGGAAACATTTCTGTGATTTGAAATTTGTTGTCGTGGATTGAACAGGATTTTTTTCAATTTACTGATGATCAAAGTTAGGATGAGTAAGGAGCTGGATTTCCCACACACCTTTTCCAATAAAGATTCATGCATATTTCTAGTCATCCAAAAGCAGTTCACTGGGTTGATTTCTCAGGAGATTCCTGAACATGAAGCATGGAAAACCTGACAATCACGTAGCTGAAGAGATCCAGACCCCTGTGACTAGGATAAGAATTGCCTTGTATTTGTAGGACAGAGATATGGTTAAGACCATATTATGGAGTCCTTGGTTATTTTCTTGCATTATCCAATATCTTCATTGCTAGAAGGGGGCAGGACTCATATTGAATCAGGCTATGGGTAAAAGGAAGGTGATTGATAGGAATCTCATGTAGGTTGCAGGAGTAAATCTGCAGCTCCACAGAAGATTATTTAGTTATTCAGTTGACAAGGCAAAGATGAAATGGATGGTAGTCATCAGAGTGTTTTGAAAAGGTTGACAGACAGAACTCGGGATTATAAAGTCATTGTTAATGTACAGTTGCCAAAGTTTGAGTTATGAAATGATAAGGTAGTAATTTTCAGTGTTTTGTGGCTGAGCAACAGGAGCAATCCAATTATTTGGCAAAAGGATTGTCAGTAGCGATGCTCATAAATAGTCTTATTTTTCTTTTTCCTCTCCACCCTTTCTTTCTAGGGTTGGTTTGCTGGTAGAAATCTTGCCATCTCCCAGGTGACCACCAAATATGTTTTGTGGGTGGATGACGATTTCATTTTCACACCCCGCACCAAAGTGGAAAAGCTGGTAGATGTCCTTGAGAAAACTTCCCTGGATTTGGTGAGTTCCTGCCCCCGTGGTTGCTTTTGCTGGCTCTGGATCATTTATTTCACCATGCTGGCTGGGGAATTCTGGGAGTTAAAGTCCCACACATCATCAGGTTGCTGAGAAACAGTGCCCTACAGTGGTTAGAGGTGGTTTTCTGGAATGAGGGGGATGCTTTGAGGAGCAGGTGTGAGGTTTTCAACAGATGTGGTAGATCTCATAATTGGTACAGAAAGGTGGAGGCAGGCTTAGTCCATGGCTGGGATTTGAACATCTTTGTATCCCATAATATGAAGTCAATCAATTTTGACTACAATTGATAAAGAGACTAAAAAGAGAGACTCATTCCCTTCTAAATTTGCAAAAATCTATCACACAATGGTTGCTTTTGGATGTAGTGTTATTTAAATCTCCAGTTCTTGATTCTGGCTTAATTTCTTCCAAGATATTTATTGATTTAAATAAATCAAGATTTCAGTAAATTTGTTATAGCCACCTACTTCAGCAGACTCTAGGCGGCTTACAAAAACTAAGTTAAAATAACCAAAAACATAATGCAGTATGAAGACCTCAACCCTGTCCTGTTCGTCTCTTGGTTTTGGTTTCAGCATAGTTTTAAAATCCTAAATTGTGTAGTTTTAACGTTTGAATTATTTTTCACTTATTTTATAACTTATAAGCCACCCAGAGTCACCTTACAGGGGAGATGGGTGGCATAAAAATGTAATAAATAAATAGACAAAGCAAAACAAAAACGGGCATTAAAACAAAATTACAAGGATAAGAATAATGAAATAAACTCCCTCGAGAAATCATTTTTTTCTGCAGATACAATCCCCTTCACATACACATACAAGTCCACGCCATCCATCCTCAACATTGTTGTTTGTTTTCCGCAGGTGGGTGGAGCAGTACGGGAGATTACAGGCTACATCACCACCTACCGCCAACAGATCAGCGTGGACCCTGGTGGTGAGGCTGGAGATTGCCTGCGAATCCATCAGGGCTATCACCATGTCATTGAAGGTTTCCCTGATTGTGTAGTCACCGATGGCGTGATCAACTTCTTCTTGGCACGTACAGAGAAGGTGCTGCAAGTTGGCTTTGACCCTCACCTCAACCGGGTTGCCCACCTTGGTGAGTGATTCTGCCAGCATGGGAGATCCTCAGCTTGGGACCCGTATCTAGAATAGAATATAGAATAATCTTTGCTTCCTATATAGGAGATAATAAGATATAAACCAAACCACACAAACAATCCAAAGGGTGAACTTGGGTTTCCTTTGATGTTGTGGTCAGGTTTTTTCAATCTCAGCAAATTTAAGAGGTGTGGGCTTCAACTCAGTGCTGACTGGAGAATTCTGGGAGCTCCACACAACTTAAAAGTAACTGGGATTGAGAAACGTTGTAGTCTTAACAGAATGCTTGTGTCGGATTTGTGAGCGCCAACGGGATCTGCAGTAAGTTCTCCTTATTTATTTCATTCCAAATGTTAACTGGCCTGTAGCAACTTCTACTCAAGTCAACAGGAAAGTTCAAAAAGCATGCACAGAAGGATTGTTTGTCGAAGAGTCATAGACTAGGCTTAATTTTTGTCTTTTGTTCTGGGTATTTCTAACTGCAGAATTCTTCATTGATGGCCTGGGTATTCTGCATATTGGTTCCTGCTCCAATGTGGTGGTAGACCATGCCTCTAAGATCAAGCTACCGTGGTTAAAATCGGTAAAGGAGAAGCAATATGCCAAGTTCCGCTATCCCAACTCAACAGATGGCACGATGAACTCCAAACTAAAAAATTTCTACTTCAAGAACCATTTCAAATGCATGACAGGCAATTAGTCTTTAGTGAGAGGGTGCTGAGCCCCAGCCTTGACAACTGGCTAAGCCCTCAAGTGACTTGGGTCTCAGACAGCCTGCTCTGGCAGCTAGCCACAGCTCTTGGCAAACAAGCTTGCCTGTCTACTAGCCAAATGCCCAGAACTCAGGGAGGCTTCAACATTCTCAGGTCTGAAGAGCAACTTGAGAAATGAGCTTCATGCTGCTTAAAAAACAAAACAAAACAAAAAAAAACCTGTGTTCTAACAGAATTAATTGGACAAGCCACCTTCCAGACCTTGTTGATGAAAGGAGGATGTTGTCTGCTTGTCATTTTGTCACTCTGTTTCACCTATTTTTGCATCTGAACTGAACCAGATTCCACGGGGAGTGATTCTGGAAGAGGCTGCCCCATGAAGCCTGGATGTTTTCCCCTCTCCTGGTTGAGAGCAGCCAACTGCCTCTGTTACATTGGACTCCCCTTCCAACTTTGGACTAGCGCATACCTATAGGTCATGTCAAAAACTTGCAATCTCTGGCAATGTCCCAGCATCCTTTACCTCCAATTAATTTAAACTACAGAAGGGGACAGGATCGGGAGGTGGAGAAACCTGAATTCTGGGACTTTCTCCAGCATCACAGTTTTTGTGCCAAGGTTTTGAAGATGAGCCTGTCTGTCCCCAGCTCCCTCCAACCTCAAACTGACAATGTTCTGGGATATTGTGAAGTGCCAAAGACTAACGATGGAAAGCCACCACCAGAGGGAAACCTTGAAGTGTGCATTGCAGCAAAGCAGCCTTGAAAGGCCACAGATTTATCCGGTGCATTTCAGATTCGAGGCACTCCCAGGCTTACAGCAAAAATGGCCTGATATGGCATGGACATTGGAGGGTGGACCAGCTTATTTTCTATGGTGATAAGGTTGTTGTTGTTTTTTACAGTGAAGTAGAAAGACTGTCCATGACAGATTGCCATTTTTTTATTATTATTATTATTTTAGACAGAATCCATTTCCAAAGCTTCTTCTCATTCCTTAAACTTCTCCATCCCAGATCTCTGGCTTTTTAGTTCCAACCATGGAACCTTCTGCACCCTTGTTTTTCCTAAAACTTATGATTTATTAGGGAGGTTTTAGAAAAACAACACAAATCAAGGCTGGGAAAAGATTCTGCACAATCGTTCCATGGCATAGGGTTTGGCTCATAGCGTACGTAACCCAAGAGATTGTAACCACTCAGGCTCCATTCTTCCTTCTGCCTATTTGTGTCCTTCTTACTGGCAGCTGGGCTGCCGATTTCATTGAGATAAAAGTATCCAAGTACCAGCCTAACGGGTTAAGATGCGTGTGCATTTTTAGCATAGAAAGTGACAAAAACCAGAGAGGTGGGGTAGATTTCAAAATCTCTGTAGCACGCGTGTTATAGGAATTCATACAGATTGATTTGCAAAGTTGTTCCTTGCTGCAAAAGGACAAACTCTTCTTTCCTCCGAGTTGCTAGATGAATATTTTAAAAATAAAGGACTGTGTAGGATATGCTTATTGGACATAAGATATGGATTGAGTATGGCCTGGAAACCGTAAGTACTGCACCAGTCGCGTTCATGCTTATATGGGAATAAGCTGCACTAAGCATAATAAGACTTGTAAGTACTATTTTATTTGGAATTAAATCCTGCTCATACCACCAGAACAATGCAGTAATAAATTAAGTACACATAAAAGCTTTAAAAAAATGGCACTGCATTTTGACACTTCCCACCCCCACCCCACCAGTAAGTAGGAAAGAAATTCCATGTGATAATGGAGTGGTTGCTCCCCTGCCTGAAATGCTAATTTTGATTTTAAAAAAAGTTCAAAAGCTTGCTTATTTACATATTTATTGTTCAAGGATGGTTGCATACTCAGCATCCAATTCTGAGCTGGTGCTGTCCAAGAAAACCTTAGCTACAGTACTTGATGCTGCTGAGGGTATAAAATGAGCCTATGGAGATTCTCAGTCAATCCGGGTCGTGGTTGTCCCAAAGGTGCATTTTCAGGAGGCAACTGGACTTTCTTGTTTTTTCTTTGAAGACGTTTCACTTCGCCTCCGAGAAGCTTCTTCAGCTCTAATATTGTGCACATTCCAAAAACGTGAATCAATTCATTAACTATGTTTAGCATTTGGTCCTACCGGTTCCAACAGCAATGCTGATCTGAGAGGATCTCTCTGGCGAGGAAAAGAAAAAAAGAAGGTGCCCCAGTACAAAAGAGTCCTTTGATGGAATTGGCTTCCTTTCTTTTCTGGCAATCAAGCTTTTCTATAATTCCCATTGAGCATTATTTCCTAGGTTGAAACCCTCTCCTTCCTTTTGGCTGCCATCATCCTGTGATGACTTCAATTTCTGTTTCCAGGAAAGTAATAAAAGACTTTTTTAAAAATTAATACAATTTTGTTTGCTGCTGAGTTCTAAAATTTTCTGGTAAGGGTTCAAGAAGAAAGGAGCCAAGAAAGGTGAGTCCACACTGCAGTTGTGGATTTCTTCAGACTATGCAGCCCATGGAAGTTGTAGCAGGAAGAAGAACAGCTGAATCTCTTCTTGTTAGTCTCCTCTTTCCAGTAGTAGGAGAAACGTCGTCTCGTAGGCAGCCTGCTGCCTTTCCCAAATCTCTGGGACCTCAGGTGGCTTTGTCCTGGTAGATCTTATTGTCTTTTACCCTTGACAGGAAGAAAAGTTATACCCAGATGGTAGGATCCTTCTGTTCCATGTTTTCCTGAGCAAAAACCAAACAGAGTTATCCATGAGGCACTATGCTGTATATATAAAAAGCTACTATATACCCTCCCAGCTCGTGTTACCTGTTAACCTCTGTGCCTCAAGCCCAGGCAGAGAGGTGCAGAGATTCCCCCAGTGGATGGCAATCACTGCTAATAGATTCTGATGATGATCTGAACTTTCTACATCTATAAATAATGATTGTAATACAGTTTTTTTTTCCAATCTGGTACCTGCTTTTTTAGCTAAACTACATCTTCCATTGGTGCCAGCCAATGTGGCCGTTGAGTGGAGTAAGGGAAAAACATCAACTGTATACTACGTTGGAGAAAGTTGTTTTAAGAGATCTGAATTAGAAAATTCCCTGAAGGACAATATTCTGGTAGTTTTTAGTTAGAAAGGAAATGGATGGATAAAGTTCTTGCCTTACCTAAAAGGGCCTCAGATAGGAGCATGCACCTGGAACTTCCCCTTTAAGAAAGATAATGTGACACCTAATTTCCTGGTTAATCCTCTGTTTCTGCACAGGCTTCTGTTCTCACTTGGATATTTTTTTAAAAAATCTCTAAAATCATATTAGCCATTGAAAATAACCAGTAAAGCCCGCATTGAAAAAGTAAAGACCTACTTCTAAATAGCCTCTCAAGGAGCAAATATGGCTAGTTCACCAGAACTGTGGGGTGGGGGTGAAAATTGATTCAAGTAAAACTACTGCCATTAAATACAGACTCCAAATAATTTTCTACATTTGACTATAAGATTCAGGCTAAATTGCTTGTATCTACAGATTTATCTCCTGGGTGGGACATTAAATGACAGTCATGTGCTGTTGGAGAGTTGGGCTACAGGTGCCAAGCCATGCTCCCCTTCCTCCCCCATGCCCCATACAACAGCCTGAACATGTCTCTGGCAATTCTCAGTGATCCAGGTCATGGTTGTCTCACAGGTCCTTTTTCCAAGAGGCAACTGGACTTTCTTGTTTTTCCTTGAAGACGTTTCGCTTTTCATCCCAGAAGCTTTTTTGGTCTTCAAAGAAAAACAAGAAAGTCCAGTTGCCTCTTGAAAAAGCACCTGTGAGACAACAGCCTGAACAGAAAACAAGGAGGAAAGAGGCTTGCTTTTTCTGCTCTCGGACGCTTACCGTGGTTTGCTGGAGGTAGGATACAGCGTCATGAACGGTGACAAAAATCTGCTGAGGGGTTAGGTGATGCATGAGGCCACAAAAACTCAAGGTCTGTAGGACATTGGCTGGGTGGATAAGAAGAAAAGAGAAGGCACATAAGTCTCGTGCCACCTTTGGGTCTGACTCGCATGTACACAGCAACGGTCCCTTCCTACTTACACAACACAACAGAATCTGTATATTACAGATATTACAGCCACGAATCATGGGATCTTGAAAAAAATCTGATACTGTAATTATATGGATGAGTAAACTAGTCCTTCAAATCAAGTACTTCAGCATCACCGCTCTTTCCAAGGCCCAATCTCTCATAAGCCAGTTGGAAACAACTTGAGCTTATTGTTGTTCCAGTGTGTTCTGTTCAGAAGAGCTGAGGGGGGCAGTGAGAATTCCCTGTTGCATGTCAGCTATCAAGAACCCCTTCTCCTCCACATGAAGTAACGGGGAAGCTGGCAGGAAATCAGAAGTTGCAATCACATGGCCTCCTTCCTTAACAACAGCAACTAAGATGCTAGGATTGTGATCGCTATGTGAAGTCGTATGTCATGCATTGTGACTGCTGTGCTTAGTGACAGCACATCCTGTCCCAAGTGCCATTTTAAGCCAAGATCTGCTTGTAGCATGAACGTAAGGACAGAGAGCAAATAACAAATGCAGCTTCACCACTTCCATATGTGTGTCATGACGTTGCTTGAGCATATAAAAGGGACAGAGCTTGCTTTGCAGTGGCATGTGGTGCTGCTTGTTTCACTTTTGACAGAAGCATCAGATTTCTGAGCCCTACTGAAGTGAAACTGATTGTTCAGGTGGTCTTACAATGTTTATTTTAAAAGGCCATAAGGAGAGGGAGGGAAGATTCAACATATGTAGACCACAGGCCTAGTGATGGATATCTACCACATGACACCCTCCTCCAAAACAGGTGTCTATGGATCTTGGTTTGAATCACCCATAACAATCACAATAGCTGGTTTTTAAAAAAATATATAATAAAATGATGATGCATTCAATCAAGCAACCATCAGCTCATCTCCTTGTCTTTGATGCCAAGTTAGGTGACTTGTTGGAAACACCCTATGCCATAGATTTCTGGGTCTGCATCAGATAAGTTAGTTCTATCACCCATTCTCCTTTGTATGTGAGAATCTATCCATGCAGGAAATGTACAGGATGTCTCTTGTACATGTACGTCTTGGATTTCCCATTGAGGGAATTGACAGTAGTCCACTTGATTTTGCTTTTAAGGAACAAGTGAAGTGGGCCAATCACACCAATTAAAAAAATGCATACGCTTTCCTAATGAAATATGACAACTTCTTAACTTTTAGCTTTTTTGGGGGTGGGAAAGGAAAGTAAATTAGGGTAGCTTTTTCCTACATACTATCTTTGAATTAAAGGTCCCATAATGGATTCCAACTAGAGACCATTGAAGTTCTAGTCTAATGCCTCTGAAGGCCATCAGGCTGAGGAACAGTGAACTAAAATAATAGGAAGATTGATGGCACTTCTTACTTCACTCACCATTACAGGCAGACAAATGTATCTGCATGCCGGCTTTTTGACATTCCACACACATCTAAAAGGCAAGGAAACATTTGTAATGAAGCTTACGTGGGGTTTTTCAGCCATTGCAGGTATACTGTAGCACCAATCTAATGGCCAAGATCCTGATGCACAATGATCTTTTATTAATTTCGGCACAAGGAGGTGACATTGTTTGCGTTCCACCCCATGGTCTATTATAAGGAGTCTGTTATACTGGGGGCAGCTGTTTTTCCAATTCAGTATAAATAGACATGACTCTAGTTCATTTGTTAATATCACATTTTAAAAACAACCCATTTAGGCCCTGGTGGATTATAATTCTTCTCAAAGGACAGTTTAAAGGGGAGAAGAACATTATTTAAACTGACCCAATGCAAGGTAGATGAGTGAGGAAATGCTGTCTGGAGTGAGAAGCTAATGGCTTCTTTTAAAAAAAATTCATTTCACTGTAATGTAATAATGTGGAAAATCATGCTCTAATTCTGCATGTTTGTGGGCTCAATGTGTTTGCAGACAAAACCCTGACTATTGACCAGATCCTTACCTCATCTGATTTTCTATATCGGGGTCCCCAACCCCCAGTCTATGGACCAGTACCAGGCTGCAGCATGCCAGCACTGGTCCGCACAAACAAGGAAAGCCCCAACCACAGGATGCAGGCAGCACACATAAACCATGCCTCCTCTGGCCTGTGGGAAAACCTCTCTCCACCTAACTGGGTCCCTGGTTCCCAAAAGGTTGGAGACTTCTGTTCTACATCACTCAATTCAACTACTGAGATGCTGGTGCAGTGCAAAGCCAAGGACCAGCCTGCAGTATTACTTTCAATTTCAAAAAGGCCTTGATTTCTGAGAAGATGAAAATGATGGGCAGATGCAGTTCAGAGCTGTTAGGAAAATCTGCCCACTTGCACAAAAAAAGACAAAAAGGAAATGGGTGTAGAAGGAAGCATTCTGTAGGAGAATTGCTTTAAAGTCTGGGACAAGGGGCATCCCAGGATATTGGCTTTGTAACTGGTTATATTCCATATGGCTGCCATTTGGAGAATGGGAGAGCCCGGCCCCCACCCCGTAACAGTTATTGTCTAGGAGTACTGACAGCATGTTCTCAAAACTTCTGTCGGCTTATAATTACAACTCCAGATGTGTCCATCAGCCAAATGTCCAAGGCTCCCAATGTAACAGAACTGTTGATTTTAGAGTCAACTGCAAGTCTTCTATACTTGCAGCTGAACTCAAACCAAAATGCTTGGGGCAAATATGGAGTTTAGTTGTTGAGCAGTGACCCAGAACTACCAACACTGGGGAGTCCAGGTTTCTATTCAAGAGGTCCCTCTGATTTGACTGGACCTCTGGCCAAAGGAATTTGTCTCTTCTCTAGCAATCTCTAGAGAACTGATGAATGGAATGAAATAGAATGGAACGGAATGGAACAGAATGGAACGCATTTGGGAGGGCCAGAAAAAGAAATGGCAGCCTTGTCCACTTTTGATCAGAGCCCATCCATCCCTTTTACTCAGCCTGTGACAGAATGCCCTAGGTCAGAGGCCCCCAACCTTTTGGGCACCAGGGACCGGTTCTGTTGAGAAAGGTTTTTCTGCAGATTGGAGGGTGTGTGGTTTTGTATGCTGCCTGCATCCCACGGATGGGACTTTGCTTGTTTGTGCGGACTGATTGTGGGCATGCCGTGGCCCATTACTGGTCCACGGACTGGAGGTTAGGGATCCTGCCTTAGGTGGATCTGATTTTGGTGAAAAAAGATTCCTCTTTAAAGAATGAGAATCATGAATCGCTCCAGGATCAAAAAAAATAAAATAAAATTCAACTTGCAGGCAGCATCAATCCTGCCCTCCTCAAAAAGTCTGAACTATCGAGATCAGGAAATCTCAAGGTATTTCAGGGATTGCAACATAATGAACTCCCACAGGGTCAGGTGAGATTCTAGCCACCTTAAAATTTAAAAATATCGGTACTTTTCAGGATCAGAATCAATCTTTATTACAGTCACAGATCAGCACAAAAGTTAAACATTAAAATAAATACATTCTCTAGAAATTTTTGGAAAATGACTAAGTAAGGTAGTTGATATAAATAAAGATCTTTAGTTCTTTAGGTCTTTTTTCCTTATTATCATTGCAGCAGCACAACATTTTGCTACTCCACGAGTGGTGTTTGGATTTGAACCCCGAAGGAGATGGTTCGCATAGAAGTTATCTGATCTCCCTAGAAATCTCTTTAATAGAGAAAAAATACACCTTGATCTGATGTCCCTGTAGAACTTGTAGCGCAATTGGACATGTGAGATATTTTCAACTTCCCCACTGCCACATGTAAACATTTGCTCAGCTATGGGGTTTTATCATTCCTGTCCTGCAGGAGTGCTGAAGGGAGGATATTAAGTCTGGCTCTAAAAAAGTCAGGTCTTTCAGATACCTTGCTGGTTCCCACACACCCCATTTAATCTGATTTCTGCTGTGGAGAGATAACCTGTTAAGTTCTAGCTGAAACTCCATGTTTCTTATTCTATTGGTAACCACTTGCTTGGCTTGATCATAGCTTAGGGATATTAAAAACAGGGGAGAAGGTCCATAGAAGGCCAGTTTATGCTCTATTGCCTGTTTCCAGGGAGAGGGAAGTTATCTATCAGAACTAAAAGGAGTCAAGCCCTCTGGGAAGAATTGAATTTTCAACCAGTAAATTATCATCATCTTCCAGCCCTTACCTGAATTCGAGGCATTCCTGTCTCAATTCTCAGCTGGGCGTTTGATGTCCCACTAGGTGCAGCTAAAATGGATCTCAGGAATTTTGTTTGTATGGTTTCTAAAGACTCCTTCTTCAAAAAAACAATTCCTTTTGTGCCCCCATAGACAGTGTCTGCATCAGTGTTTTAACCTTTAAGAGTTTTAAAGCTGCGGGGACTAATTGTCCTCTGTCTGTGTAAAAAAAGTGTTTGATAGCATTTGTGTGGTCCAGATGTGCCTTTCAAATACCTTTCATATGGAACAACACTCCAAGGTACTTGAATCTATTGACCTGTTCTAATCTAGATTGTGTCCTTCTACCTTCCAAAAGTATTGAATAGCTCTTTTAGGAAAAACTAGGATATTCAATTTTTTGAAATTGAGGATCAGATTATTTTGTCTACAGTATTTTAATGTTGCTGAAATAGCTCTCTTGAGTCCAATAGGGGTTTGTGAAATAATAGCGGCATCATCAGCATACAGAAGTATTGGTATTTTCAATTGTGCTAAGTTGGGAGGAGGGAAGTCTGGGTTATGCAGAATATCAATCAAGGAATTAATATAAAGATTGAAAAGGGAAGGGGCCAAGATACATCTGTACTTTTAATTTTTGGAGATCAGCAAGTACTGTTCTAAGTGTGGTAGATCCCTTGGGCTCCAGTTAAGGAAAGTTCATCTGGAGACATATTCTGAGTTTTAATCTTGATTTAATCTCAACATTCACTGATTTTGACGCTTGTATTTCTCCAGCCTTACTATTTTTCAATCCTTATTCCCCACGACACAGACACACACGCATATTTGACTTTTGATACCTGGATAAGGAGCCGTGCGCCAGATGAATCCACAAAGGATATTCCACTGCAGTCAAAAATCACAGCCTGTACATCCAAGCCTGTATAAGCAGATAAGACAGAACCCATATCAACCACACTCAACCACTGCAGCTCCACAGATTCAGCCTAACAGCTGCCATATGCTACCCTGCACTCGTCCAGGAACACTTTGTTCTCTAGATGCACCAGCAAAGACTAAAATGAAATTCTGGACCCATGCATACATTTCTTCTGTAAAACAGCCGGCATAGAAGAGAATTATCCTAACAAACCATGTCTAATAACTGAATGCAAGCACAAAGAGAGTTCAGCCTAGTATTCCCACATGGGATGAACTTCAATTGCCATAACCCCCAGCTGGATGGGGATTGAAATTCAACAACTCTGGAGGCATAAAATTAGGGATTTTCCACCATGGGGTTTAGCAAGTATATTTACACAAGAAAATTGCCCAAGAACAAAATAGAATTAACCTTTGATTACCTGAGTTAAATTTCTTTTCCAAGACAGAAACAGTGCTGTCCTAAAGAAAAAGGGGAAAACCCAACAATTAATTTCTGTTTACAAACTGAAAGAATTGACCTATGCCATTTTACATCTAATAGGGCAGGGGTCTTCAAACCTGGCCCTTTTATGACTTGTGGACTTCAACTCCCAGAATTCCTCAGCCAGCATGCCTGGCTGAGGAATTCTGAGAGTTGAAGTCCACAAATCATAAAAGGGCCAAATTTGAAGACCCCTGTAATAGGGGGTCAGAGACAGTTATTCATATGATGTGACTGTTTTCCACCAAGGATCTTTTGAACATTGTTGGGTGGGAATCTCGTTATCATAGAAAACCACCCCCCATATTCAGTTTAACTAGAGCAGCTGCTTTGACTTACCCCGCAGGGTGAAAGATAGCAACATCTTGACCTATGCCCCACTTAGATCTCCACATATATAAGAGCTACAGTACAGAATTCACTCTCTTATAATTGAGTAAATATGCCCACAATTCTGTAATCAAAACCCATCCCTTTTTACATATGTCATAATGCATGTAGAAAGAGTGGGGGTTCGATCAAAGACATATGGCCACCATTTTGATTTTTTTCACCATCTGAAAACACCCCTGACTCTCTGGCTGTTCCTCTGGGCTGGATGGCAGAACTGCCCATGGTGTACAACCAGTTCTGAGCACCAGAATCAATCTAGTTGTCTCAGATGAGACAGAAGACATTGTAATGTGTGTTTGCTTTTTAATAATAATTATAATCCAATACAGTCTTGACAAAAGAAGAAGCTTAGCATCAGCCTTAAAATTATATCAATAAAAGTCATTAATAAATATCATGGACCTCTTAAATCTAATCTAATCTATCTGAATGCAGATGGAATAAAAGCACTTTAGCTTAGCATCATCAGGCTTGAGGTCATCTAAAACTCCAGGATCAGGTATTCAGATTTTTAAAAAGAGCTTAAAATAATATCTCTCCCTTTAGCTAACTTTTACTTCCATGAGCATTTCACTACCTGGCTGGAGTAGCATTTGGGTGAACTTGATTTGTTTTAAACTGAAGTCACAATACTTGGTCTCCCCACCATTACTCCAATCTTTTACCAGGAGTCTTACCACTGTAGTGATGTCCATTTTTATCCTGCTGTTAAACGGTGGATCCTCAGACTGTTTGCAGTCTTGCTGCAGCCCCACAAGTTTGCTGACAATATCTCTAAAAAAACTGCGGTTCCCATAATAGATGGGGGCCTGGTAACTTAAGATCTTCACACCTGGGATCTCAAAGCACTAAGAAGAAGAAACAGAAGAAATGGAATAGAAGCACAGAATCATAGAATTTATGAATACATGTTCACTGGGTTTGGGAAAGGGTTATGGCAGACTTCCCCAGTCTGACACCTACCAAATAATTTAGGCTACAAATCCCATCATCCATAGACAACTGTGAGCAGGGAAGTACCCACAGGAATGAATGAAGAGAAATTGGAGGATATAACTCAACATTTCTAAAGGGTACAAATTGTAGGGAATTAATAATTGCCATGTTGTGCAAGTTAATTAATTAATTAATTAATGCAAATTAATCTTGGCTGGGCATGTAAGGTGAGGAAATTCACTGGAGAAAGCATGTATATTGGGAAGAATTAGTGATAAAAGGAAACCAGGCCACCAATGAAAATGATAGCTGGACACCATCAAAGCTGACACCAGTCAGAGCACAGAAAAACTCAAAGAAGCAGTGCAAGATTGGAAGATGTGAAGAGACCTGGCCCGCACAATCACCAAGAATTGGACATGATTAAATGGATAACATCGTCATCATCAATCTTTGCTATGCTCCTATTACAGACTAGATTTCAGAGTCTCCACTGCAGCATAAGCATCCTTCTTCCTTAAAAATTAAATGTTCTTGTTAAGTTCTATGCAATAAAATTACATTTCTGGAAGATCTCTGAACTTCTAGAATTAGAACATCATAACAACCTGTTCTCATTCAAAGAGGTTTTTTCCCCTCTTCGTTAAGAATAAAACAACCTCATCTTGTTCCCAAAGCAAGATGATCCTATATTAAGGCAGCCTCTACGCATACCAGCACAGGAATTAGTCTTGTTGAGTTCAAAGAGACTTTCTCCCAGCCAGGTAAGTAGGAACAATTTCCACCACTTTTACCTTGCTATTGTACTTGACAGGCTTGTAGATTTCCGTATCCGCTGCTCGGCCCAGCACAGAGCATTCAGCCCTGTAAAATAAATAAAATAAAATAAAATAGATAAATAAAATAAAATAGATAAATAAAATAAAATAATAAAATAGATAAAAAATAATAAATAAATAAATGCAGAGTAAAGTAGATAGATAACCTTTATTGTCATTTTTTACTGTGGGCAAACTGGCACACATTAAAAATGAAATTCTGTTGCCTGCTCTCAAAACAGTGTACATATAAACATGCTATATACAACATATGTATAGAATAGCCTTTGCCCAAGAAACATGCAGGTAATATTTTGGGAACAAGGAGAGATAGCATTTCAAAAGGATACAGTCTTAAAGGATAATTTGCATATTTACATGGATGTTTGGAAACCAAGGAGGACCTAGCCTAGGCCTATGGTTGATGACAAGAGGTTGATGACAAGAGATTGACGACAAGAGATCATTCAAGAATGATCTTTCTGGCACACTTAACAAGAGGATCTTGCATCCCAACAGCTGGGCTTTAATCCAGCATTCAGCAAGAGAACGTAGCAAAGGAAGGACCACTACTATGAAGTTACCTCTGTGTGCGGCATACAACAGTCATCATGGAGAACACAACCCCCACTGCCAGGCCAAAGTCCACACTAAGCACAACCACGGAAAGCCACGTGACCATCCACACAGCCTGTAAGAGAATTGAAAAGACAGTAATAGAGCCACCCAATTCCAAACCAGCACAGAAAGTTTCAAGGGTTTCAATGGAGACCATCCCATTCCAGCCTATCACAGCTTTAAATTAGGAAGTGTCTTCACACCTCATAAGTTAAAAGAATGGCAAAATAACAAATGCAGTTTAATAACAAGAGCAATAATAGATTCCAAATGCACACGCTGAGCACTTATATAACAGTTATAGGAGAAGGGACATCTACAGTATAAGGCTTCATTTTTAATAGCTAGGTGTCAGGAGATTCCCAGATGTTATTGCCACTTACGAAGTCCACGTGGCTGATCCTCCACAACTCAGGTAAGTCCCGGAACTGCAGAAACATCTGTCGAAGACTGGTGACATTGATACAAGCTAGGACAGCCTGACATGAGAAAAGAAATCAAGAATCACATAAAGAGACCCTGTCTTTTCAAAACAGGTCAAGATTGACTAGTGGGATGGACCTGTCCTCTCCTGCTCAAATCTCATCTCTCCTCTTTTACCTGAAAAAAATTCTTCCTTCCCAATCTCATCCAGGGTCTTCTTGGTGCAGCAATTTCCTCCTACATTAACAAGTTGCTACCACCAAGTACGAACTGTGGGTTTGGTCCTTCCTAGGACAAAAGTAAGAAAATTCCTTCCTTTTTTATTTTCAGATTTATAGATAAGTTGGCTGCAGTGGTTTTATGGTACTTATGAACTTAGACTTCAGTAAGCAGGAGTATAGAAAAGTATTTTAATGAACCAAAACATGATTACAGGAAAATAGAGAACAAAAAATATTCATTTAACCAGAAAATAATTTAATGTGTCTGTCTAAAAACATAGTTCTTAATCTAGAATAATTACTCCTATTGTCTTTTCCCTCAATGAGAGTAGACTTTCCCTTGATCAAAGGAACCCCCATTGCTATTTTCTTGTTTATCTTTCATTAGCTGTTCCAGATGTTCTTCTTTCCTGCTAAGAAGTATTTTAAAGCTTCAGTACAGTAGGAATTCACTACCATCTAGAATGGATGATATAATGATGGGGACCTCATATAAAAGAGTTCAAAGACAGCAGTTCCAACATATCCCTAACATACATAGGTTTATTGTTGTAACCACAGGTGATAACAGTGTTTGGAAAATATGCCAGTCTTGGCATTCTAAATTGCCTGGTATGGAAATTGAACTGCTACCTCTTGGACCAAAGCTTCAGAATATGTACAACACCACATACTTAGATAAATCTAAATCCAATGATAGGTATGTCCAGCCATGTGCCAGACTAGATTTTTAAGAGCTGCCATATCCACATCACTCCTACTAGTATCTGTAAGAATGGGCTTCTATACTGTACCATTTTAGCATTATTAAGACTGTTTTTCTACAAGTGGATGCAAAATTTAAATGGTGGTAACATATCCTACATCTATGCTTAAAATTCTCCTAGTATATATATTTTTAAAAAACTAGCCTCGTTCTGCATCCGCCGCCCTCAAAATATGTAGTTTTAGTTCAATACTTTATTTCTTGTAGCTTTAGTTTCATGTAACTCTTTTTTGTTGATCCAACATTACTGAATTTCCACTGAATGAACCGTTAAATAGTTTGCTTCTATTTCCTGAAAATGACAGTTTTAATTGCTAATAGTTTTCTGTCTTCTTTTTTGGTTTTTAAATTGTGAAACAGTGCTATTTCTCAAAGAAAACCATTACTGGAAGGAAATTAGTCCTTACAACCTACCCACGCCCAAGAACTGATTGACTGAAGGACAATCAGGGAACAGTTGATTAGAAATTCCAGAGCTACATTGAAAAGGCAGCAATGCAAGGCCAAGGTCACAAGGAGGAAGCTTCTTGTTAAAGGCACAATGGCCCTCTTGAGAAATTTCACTAGCAATTATCATAGCTAAGCACTGCTTAGGGTTAACCAAAAGTAATCAAATAAATAAAATATCCATTAAAGAAACCCAGCAGCCTCAGTCTACATTCATTTATCAAAGCTATTCAAATTATACATACAACAAATACTTAAAATAGACATGCATAAATTATTCTTGTTTGAGGATTAGTTTAAAAAAAATTTTTTTGGGTTTTGCCAACCCATTCCTGCATCTACAGTAGCTCACCTTTGGTAAATAATGAAAGAGTGGTCCAATCCATATTAACACAATCAGGACAATGGCACTGGTGAAGAGTCCAGAAAGCTGTGGATAAGGAAGGCTGGTTAAGTCAGACAGTCTTAAGCAAGACAGTAGGTTTCTTGGGAACCAAGTACAAAAAAACAAGGTTTTTTTTTTTTTTTTTTGTATTCATACAGTACCCAAGAAGTAGTGGCAGCCAACAGATAAACAAATCTATATTCGCCATTATGTTAATACAAGCCAATCCTTTGGCTCCCCAGCTAGCATACTACCAGTACCATCTCCAGAAAGCATGGGACAGCTTTCTCCCTCTAACACTGGCAGAAAAGCACTTTGGATAGGAAAAGCTAGTTAAAATTCTTTCTCTTCCCCAATTGCTGATATCATTTTTTTTCCCATATGAGAAATCTCAACATTAGGTAAGAGGAGGAAGTGGTAAGATATAGACTGGGCCAAAGTCATGAAGGAAGAAGCCACAGACCCAAGGTTAAGGATCTAAAGTTCTGAACTCTCCTTGCTCTCCCTCATGTCCTTGGTCCAGAGAAATTTATAGAGCAGTCCAAACCAATGTAAATAATTTTTTGTTTTATTTTTTTAAAAAAATAAACATAGGAGGGTGTTGTTCTTGTCTTGCCATCATTTCTATCTTTTATTCCTAAAGGATTTGTCAGCCTCTAAATTACAGAACTCTAGCTAAATTAGGATTGTTATCCAGCTTAATCTCGAATACAGGATTATTTACTTCGAAATCATGTATCCATACATGTACAGTTCTGTACTCCCTAAATGTATATCTTGCTGATCAAGTACCAAAGCTGAGAGATTCACACTTCACCTTCATACAGAGCAGTGTTTCTCAACCTTGACAATTTTAAGGCATGTGGACTTCAACTCCCAGAATTCCACAGCCAGCAATGCTGGCTGTGGAATTCTGGGAGTTGAAGCCCACATGCCTTAAAATTGTCAAGGTGGAGAAACACTGATACAGAGGCTCTGTACAGCTTCATCAGAGACAGGTGCTTTTTCCCCCAGCGTGGAAATGAGGCAATAGTGAAAGGAACCGGTGTCTCTCACTGAAAGCTGGAGTGCATAACCCAATCAATCAATAATCAGGTTTGCTATTTATAATTAGAAAAGGCTTGTATCTGAAACTTCATCTCCAAGTTAATGAATCATTTTGGTGCAAGTTTTGAAGACAGAGAAGCCCTGGCAGGAAAAAAAAGTTGGCCAGCCACTATTACTACCTCATCCACATCCACATCCACAACAAAACCAAACATCTTTCATGCTTTTGCAAACGTACTCGGTGCTTTGAACTTTTTTTTAATATCTCAGGCAATTTGCTGTTTGTATCTGGTATATTTAAGCAACAAAAAGAAATGTACCAAATAAGGCATTCTCCACGTACCTGTGTATGTCCACCAGCACTCTCCAAAATGTTAGTTGTAGCCAGAGTGGCTGAATTGGGGAAACAGGTGAACAGGGAAGAGACTAGGTTTGAAACACCATGAGCCAGAAGTTCCTATGGGATAACAGAGAAGAAGAGCCAGTTGGTCTCTGGTTGTTCTATGGCAGAAATAGAGCCCAGTTTTAATTGGATTTATTATCTAATCTCCCTCTTTCCAAAGAATTCTGTAAAAACTGGAAATTCACAAGGATCATAGTAAGAATCTCAGAGAATTATAGTTTCCAGTGTTCCTCAACTGGAAAAGTTCTTTGGGGATTATAATCTGGGTTGGCTTTTATTGTCCTGGATTGATTATTATGAGATTTGGCTTTGAAATGTCTGCTGTAATGCTTAGCCAAAGTCTGTTAAAGTGAATGTGAACAAAAATGCACCTTAGGGAAAACTTCTCCAACTTGAGGAACATTTAATATGCTGCAAGGAAAACCCCACCATCTTCAGTAATGGTTGAAAAAAAAATGAGTAGTGCAGAACCCAACTACAGGAAACTCTACAACAATGTTCAACTCTGAACTTCAAATTCTGAAAAGAAAGCTTCCATTTGCAGAGCAAGAGCACAATTAAAAAGGTTAAGAATGGGAGTGTTGGCCTCACACTGGCTTTGTGAGATATTTTTCAACTACTTGAAGTGCAGTGAAAAAGAATCAAGAATTGTGTAGCTCCTGTTCTGTCTGTCACTGATATCAATCTGAAACTTCAGCTCAGAATCAGAAGCCAATTTCAAGGTAGCTGTCAAGTTATACGTCAAGGAAGAAGGACTCTGGGAAAACCAGATCCTTCAGGATACAAGGAGTTAAAACAGGTTGACAAGCATAAGGGGATGGGCTGCTAGGCAAACTCCTTGACTGGAAGGAGGAGGAGACCCAGGCTCCCAGGATGGGCACACACCTGGTTGGGGTCAATGACATAGTGGTACTTCTCAGCGTAGATCATGGCCAGCGACACTGAGATGGCGTAGGCCACAAAAGCGAGGGCCATCGTGTCACCCAACACTTGGGGCAGCAGATGCAGAGCTGGGAGCTGGGGCTGTGGGAACCTGCATGAAAGAATGGTGGAATGGGAATCACTGTGTGCTGGGAAAGAGATCATTCATTGCCCCTCCCCATCATCCATCTCCAGGGCCAAGCTGACCACCATGTGGTCCAATCCAGAGCATCAGGCTAAGACAGGAAGTAGCATTTTTGATGCCATGCCAATAGAGTGGCAATGCCCTTGTCTTTAGCCAATGTGCAAAGGGGGGAGGGAATGGAGATAGGAAAGGATCTTACCCTGCTGGGAGGTGCCCAACAATCTGTACATTATAGTGGGTATTCAGAGAGGAAGCAAAGCAGATTCCTGTGGCAAGCAGTACCTATCCCAAGAATTCAAATAAATAAGCTAATTAAAAGAAGCGTTACGATATCTTTATAAAAAAAATCAACACCACCATTATCTTTGAAAAAAAATGATTGCAGCTGTTAATATCTGGAGATCTGAAAAATCAAATCTCTCCAAGTATATTGATCTATCTCTCAAATATATTTTGCTGCAAGACTGCAGCCTGAATTTATTAAGTGTGATAGGGATGAATACTGAACTTAGTTAAGGATTTTTTTTTCTATGTCAACTAGAGCTGGCATATAGGTCTTTAAAAAGAAGATCAAGTATTACATAATTTGTGTTTCTGTTGGGCAAGTGCTGCATAATGTTGCCACAAAATGGCGGCGCTGGCAGTATGTCCAACTGAGTCCTCGAAGCTGGTGATGGCGGCCTTGTATCGAGAATGGAGTAGGCGAAATGGCACCATCCCTTCCCACTATGATAAAGCCAGTCAAAAGTACAACTGTAGAAAACCCACAGTTGACAGAAGCAGTAGAAAATCTTTAATGTGCTCAGTGGTGACAGAACCTAGATATCTTTCCCGATTTTAATCAATTCTCCATGCAGTACACTCCTAGCATATATATATTTTTTCCAAACCAGTGCAAGTCCTCTTTTTTAAGCACAAATTCAGTACTTTTTCAGAAATATGCTAAACTTTATTTGTAAGGTGTCTATAGAGGACCTGACAAATGCTGCAGAAAGCATGAGTCAAGGCAGGTACTTCTGCAAAAGCCAGGTGTTCAGTCTCTCCTGCAGCCCAAGACAAAATGGCAATGAGGGCCAGTTTCCAGTGACTGGAGGATCTGTCCACAACAAGAGAGGCTGGCTATTAATAGCTTCCGATCCCTGATTAAGTTAGCAACTAAATTGCGAATGAACCACGCTAGAGTGTGTCAATGGCAAACTGAGTCAGAAGAAGAGGGAAAACACCCCTTTAAAACTGGAATAACTAACAACGGCTTTAAACTCCTTCCATAGCAATAGCATTTTGACTTATATACCACTTTACAGTGCTTTAGAGATCTCTCTAAGCAGTTTTTACAGAGACAGCCTATTACCCCCAACAATCTGGGTCCTCATTTTACCAACCTCGGAAGGATGGAAGGCTGAGTCAACCTTCAGCGGTGAGGATTGAAGGTCCGGCTGTGGGCAGAATTAGCCTGCTATACTACATTCTAACCTCTGCACCACCACGGCTCTTTGAGGCCACCTTTGTGTCATGGTTAGGTGGATATGAGGATGATCCCAAAGATATTTCAATAACTATTTGTTTGCTTCTCTATTTTTTTTAAATGATGTGTTCAATACAAAGGAATGCTTAACATCATTTCTAGTTTAGTCCTAAGTAGAGCACTCAGGTTTTTCTTGTCAAACCCACTATTGGAACAATGATCTACCTACATGCTCTTCCTCTGTTCTTTCAATCATTTCTTTGGCTTCTATTTTGTGTGTGTGTGTGTGTGTGTGTGTGTGTGTGTGTAAGGAGGGGTGTAATGTATATTTATAACCTAAATATACTGATAACCTCAAGAAACAGAAAAAGGAAGCCATGAACCCTGTGTACATCATTTGTTAAGTTAAGGAATGACTTTCCCCAACTTATGGCCATCAGTGGTTGTATTTGATAAAGTAAAGGCTCAATACTTGCCATGATGATCTCTCCTGGGATGGGGACCCACATCCGGCTACGGTAACGGTGGTTGATTTCTTTGATTGGTACCAGCACAGCTAAGCAGAGCCCAGAGATAAGCAGTTCTGCTATGTTGGTTAAAGGCAACGCTTCCACAACAGATGCCAGTGTCTGGGGAGTAACACAGGGATGTTTCCATTTAATAAACAGAATTTAACATATGCGTATTGAGCAGCCAGGGAAGACAAGGCATCAACTAAATTTAGTAGCAGCAGTCACTAAGGGACCCTGGTAGGCTGGTTCAGCAGAGCTGGGGATCCATTGAATTTTACCTAAAGTAACCTGGGGAGGGAAGGAAAGACAAAGTATGGCTATGCTGTAAGAAAACATACTGACAAGAAATGCAATGCAAAACTTGAGGAAAGTATAGGAGAGCTGTTTAGTTGAAAGATTACCCAGTTCTGAGACACAGGAAAACATAAGAAAGAACCTCAACATTCCCTATCTTGATTTTGTTTTGTATTAAGTTGGGACAGGCAGAAGCTTCGGTAGGCTTTCAAGATTCTGTTATTCTTCATACTACAATAAAGAACATTTCTGCAATCCCTGCATTGCCAGGTTCTTAAATGGCTTACTTAAAAGGGTAGACTCATAGTAGCTTAGAGAAGCAAACATCTTTGGTATATTAAAACAGGGTTAGATGGGTTAAGGATGAGAGGCATCTTGTCTCTTCATAAATGGCCCCAGAATGTGTATCCCCCATACCTTGAAAATGGCAAAGTAGCCATTGGGGCGTGGTAAGGATATGCCCAGGAGGCTCTGTAGCTGAGAAACTACCACGTGCAAGGCTGCGGCGCTAGTAAAGGCCTTGACCACTGGTTCCGAGAGATAGGTGGAAAGGAAGCCCAAGTGAAGCATAAACATCATGACCTGGTGTTAAGGAAAGAGATGCCAGAGTTAGTTATGTGAAGTTTCCCGAAAAAAAGATTCAGTCTTTTTGGTTTTACTTCTTCCACAGGTAGAGAAAGCCATGCAACATGGAGCTGTTGTTAAGTTTGCTCCTTTCTAGGCAAAATTAGAAAATTTCTCTTCTGTTTTTATTTTCAGGTTTACAAATACGTTGTAAGAACCTGTCAAAAGAAAAATCTTCATCAGGATCCAGTCCAAGCCACGAATAGACAAAATGGAGACTGCTTTAGAAAGAAGGTTGCAGTTTATTGAAGAGCAGAGCCAGACAGAAGGGTGACTCTGGGAAAACTGATCACATGTAGTATGGAGTGGTGGGTTTTTACACCTTCTTCAGCTTTTGTTTGGAGTTGTTCTTGTGGCATGAACTTTAGTCTGAGTGTGCCTTTCTGGTATTCTGATGGTGGCGGGTTAATCCTATTATGTCCCATATCCTACTTCCCTGGGGGTGTGGCTGATGACCATGTCCTGTGTTGGATTTTTTGATGTGAGAGATTGTTGATTCTAGGGATCTTTGTCTTTCCAATGCCATCAGCTCCAAGCTTCCTGGCTCCAGTCTTTCTGACAAGATTATCACATCTGCATTTCTGCAGACCTGGTTTCTATTTGGGGCAGAGAGTCTTGGGGGGGGGGGTTCTGCCTTTAAGATCCTTTGGGGAAATATAATATTCTGCCTTTTAATATTCCCCAAAATATTTCTTTCTCTGGGGGGGGGCTGACTTCCCACAAACCTTAAAACTTCCTTCAGTTATCTCAAGTATCATTGTTTTAATGAAGCAACTTTCTTATTTTTATGCTTATGTGAACATAAGCTTGAAATGTATGGATTAGGTCTAACAATTTTTTTCCCTAATCATCTTTTTTTTCTGTGTTGTGTCCTTTTATAAAGGACACTGCCCAGAACCAACTTTGGGACCAAACAAAGCATATATAAATATACATATATGTGTGTGTGCTACATTGCTGAACTGAATGTTCTGTACAGTAACCTTAAATGAACTTTAGAGATTACTTGACCTCACTGTTATCACACTTAGAATGCTACAAAGCAGATAACTAGGAAAATTGCATAGCGTTTTTTTAAAAATAAAATATTTTAAAATATTTTATTAGTGCTGGTTTGCTAGTTAAACTCAAGAAAAATTTAAACAATAGCAATAAAACTGTGATTACCATAAAAAAATTACAAAAGTCAACTTCAACATTTTCAAATATCATCAAACAATACATGAAACATGTCAAATTACATTTCTATTGCTTCACAACAATTCCTTATTAATAATGCGTAATTGCTTGTTGAAAATCTTATATTTGAGAAGCCACATATATATAAAAGATTAGACAATGAAACAGCTATTCATTAAGCGAACAAAACTAAATGCTGAAGTTCAGAAGGAACATCTTTCTAATTTGTCAATCCCATATTTTCACAGCACGATAACCCAATCACTTGTTTGTGTCACGCAAGCAGTGGTGGGATTCAGCCGGTTTGCACCACTCCGGCAGAACCGGTAACTAATCTTTTGTTGCCCAGGGCCAGAATGAACTTCCGGAAGCAGCATCTTACACAGAGAACCAGTTGCTCACATATTTGAATCCCACCACTGCATGCAAGGCCTCCCCAGTGTACCCATCTGCACAGGCCCGATAGAATTATAGCATCCCCCTGAACTCACCATGAGGAGCCCCATGAGAAAGGCGATGGCGGCAGCTACCTCAATGCGTTGTCTCTCCAATACAGCGACTTCAGCAGGACCTGTGCCATTGGCTTGCTGGGGGATGGGAACCAAGCGCTCCACCGCAGAGCCTGTCATCAGACTGACCACAGCAAATGTGCCTGTGGAGTGGGAAGAGGTTGAGGTAGGAAGGCAAGGTTTTAATCTCCATGGTTAAACACTACCCAATTCCAGCTGCCAGGGCAAGGAATTAGGGACTTACGAAAACTGGAATCCAAAACAGGTGAAGGATGACAAATTTCTCCCTGCTCTGTTATGTAACACTCCTTCCAGTGGTGGGATTCAGCCAATTCACACCACTTCAGCAGAACCGGTAGCTAATTTTTTGTTGCCCAGGCCTAGAATGGACTTCCGGAAACGGCATCCACACAGAGAACCAGTTATTCACATATTTAAATCCCACTAATGATCTCCTTGGCACATTGCAGGACCAAGAACAATAGAAGTTACCCTTGGTTTGAACAATACATTGGGCCCTGCAGAAAAGCTGATATATATGAATAATATCCAAAAGGAATTCTGGATAATTCACAGTAGTAATTAAAAGATAGTCCTGTTTTTCCCCCTTCTTATTTCTGAAATAAGAAGTGATTATGAGAACTGATCTGTATTTCTCATAATATTCTTTGAATAAATCAAAGAAATGGATACTAAAAACTCAATACTTTTGCAGTAAGCAATGCAGGACTTGACCTGAGCATCCACCATAACTCAATTCTCAGTCCAGTGCATCAGAAGCTTTTCACATTTCAAGTTCACATAGAGCATGAATAAGATTATACCGTACTTAGCCTAAGTATACTTAATATGATGTTATGAATGTAAGTCTGCAAAAGAAGATTACATCCAGAAGCCCCCCTAAAGAGTATTTCCCAAACCAGAAGCCATAGACAATCACTGAATCCTGACAGATAGGTCTTCTAGGAGAAAGTGCATCCCTAAGACTCATGTAAGGTGAACTCCCTATTTATTCAAATGCTGTTAGCCAGAAGCATGCATGTGCAAGCAATGTGATTTATTGTGTGCCCATGAAATATCTGTGGCCTGGGAAAAACCATTTCATAGTAGTAATGTAGCTTCAGAAGCAGCATCTTGGTGCCTTGTACTTGAAATGGAAGCATGAAATACATTCTCTATCTATCTATCTATCTATCTATCTATCTATCTATCTATCTATCTATCTATCTATCTCTGTCTCTCTCTGTGTCTCTGTCTCTGTGTGTATGTCTCTCTGTCTCTGTCTCTCTGTCTCTGTCTCTCTCTCTCTCTCTCTCTCTCTCACACACACACACACAGAGCAAGAGAGAGAGAGCGCGCACAATGTATTCTCTTACTTTCTGGAACACAAGGAAGGAACCTGTGTTCAAATGCAGATCCCAGAAGACAGGACTAGGCACAGTTATTGGCTGGCATGTGAACCTGTTTCACTTGCCTATTTCCATTCTAGAAGGTCTATGGATGTCCAGAAACATTAACATAGACATGTTAATGCCTATCGTGTCTGGATGCCTGAATAGCTTTGTAAACAATCAAAGCATTCCAGATCAATTTGGGGAAAGCAATTTAAACAGGATTGCAAAGAGTTAGGAGACAGAAAGCTGGTCATCTGGAAGTGACTTGGGTCTTGCAGTACTCCTACCTGTAGACACATGACGCCCTGTCCCAAAAAGCATATACAGCAAGGCTGGGAAGAAGGAAGTGTAGAGCCCATAGATCGGAGCTACTGAAGTGAGCAGAGCAAAGGCCATTCCTGCAGGAAGAACAAACAAAAAGAGTCATAGAATCCCCACTAGTTCTAAAGCCAAGAACAAACTATTAAATAAGGCAGGAATGTTGATTTCCAAGAACATAAACCCCAAGTTGTAGGGTTGCCCTGCCAAAGCACTGCTAACATTGCCAATTTCTTTGAGGCAAGAGTAGAGGCAGAGGGCCTTAGCTCTATTATCTGCCCTTCCTATTGTAACTTGGTAGAATAGAGAGGGCGACAACTAACTCTGAGTGGCAATAAATTATTTCATTTTTCCAATAATATAGGACTTAACCTTGGATTAAAGAGTTGACAGAACAATAATCTAATGCTGGAGCAAGCAGCCTGCAGCCACACAGAGATAAAGAACTACAACTCCCATTATTCCTTGTCATTGGTTGTTCTGGTTGATGATAGGAATCGATGTCCACAACACCCAGGGTTATCTCCTGATACTTCAGTTGAACACAAAATTTGCCTACCTTTGTCCACATGCAGAGCATTTTTCTTACTCTTGTATGAATATCCATAACCCACAAATATTTAGATTCAGTAGCGTGGCTTCTGATAATAGAGAAACATTTCTAGGCTTTCCATTCTTGACATTCAGAAAACAAATATCACCCGACTGCACGTCTTGAAAAAAAAATTACTTAGCTGAAGAGTAAACCTTTGAGACCATAAGGTTACTTTCCAAGTTTCATAGATATAAAGGAAATTATTCCATAACCGCATCAAATGCTTCCCACTGACCCATCCCAATGCAGGAAGTCTAAATACAACTTTCTATATGGTCTGTTCAAAGCTTAAGTGGGAAAGCTTGGAAAGGCACTCATTATTCTGCTTTAATTATTATATTGCTTCCATTCTAGTCACAGACCAGAAGAATTGGACTTTGTCTCTGGAAGTTTAAATGATAATGAATCCTTATATCTTGAAAGTGTTGAAAGCTTTGCATTGCTTCATGTAAGCAGCCACCAGTCTCTGGAAACAGAAATGCAGGATTTTGAATGTGGCATTTTAATAGGAAAATACCGTAGCTTCTCTCGCACTGCTCAAGGTTTATTCAAAGCACCTCCAATCTTCATTGATGGGATCTATGGATGACTGGCAAACGCCTCCTTCTTTCTCTCTGTCAACAGTTGGAGGACAACACGCAACAGCAGTCCTGGCTGGGGGACTTGGCAGTGTACACAGCTTTAACGCCAGCTCAGCTGCCTTGCCAAAGGCTGGGCTGCCAAGGGACAAATGAGAGGGCAAGCAAGGCACGAGCCCAGTCCAGAGTAGAAAAACACCTAGGCACTGGGTCTCCTTGTTTTACTTTGCTTTTATCTCTTGTACCAGATAGCTGCAATCTCTCAGCTCTCACAGGAGACAGAAAGATAATCTAGAGAACAATCTTTGGAGCAAGACTGACTACCCACCCAGTCTTCAATTTCTTAGACAACTGGGACCCATAAGGCATCCTCCCTAAGTGTTCAGAGAAAGGCAGCCATCCAAAACTAGACAACGATTATAAGGGGTGCAAAAAGAATCTACATATCAAAAGAAAATCCTAAAAGAGGAAGAAGCAAAGAGAGGTGAAAGGAGAGAGGTGACTAGAAGAATAGCAGAGATTTGAATTACAAGGATGACAGATGGATTTGGGACTCTGAGCATGGAATCAGGGAATAAGGGAAGGCAGGGAAGGCAGGCAGACATAGCTATCAAAATCCAAGTAGAAAGGAGAATGGAGACCGAACCTTAAGAAGAACAGAGGAGTAGTTTGGAAGCACAAGAAAGTGGAAACCCTCCTGACCCAAAGAAGTGGAGCAGCTCTCAGAATCTGCAGGTGAGGGAGAGGGAGAATGAGAGAAAGATCCCCCCCCCCATATGGAGCTCAGAAATAGGACATCCCTGCCAGGCTTGTTAGGAAAACAGAAATAAAATATTTGAGACTGATTTTGGAACAACAAAAATCTATAGAGAAAGAGTGAGAAAGGGAGATCAATAGAAGGAGTATGGAGTATGGAGTAGAAATGAGTCAAAGTCAAGGGTATTGTTTGCCCATCCCCAAATTTGCCAGTTTTGCTGCAAAGTTCAATAGATCTTTCCATAAGGAAAGAATCACTGCTCCTGTTTAGGCTGCAAAATTCTTGGGCACATGACTACAAGCTCCCAAGTTAAGGTCTTTTGTTCACCTTCTGTTGCATGACCCTGCAGTGACTTGCACCCCCGCACACCCACAGGCACCCACATACAAACTCACCTTGAGGGATGTGTATGACGCCCACGGTTAACCCCGCCACCAAGTCCCCCAAAAGCCACTTCTTTGGCTGGTACTTGGGCAGCCAATTTGCAATAGGCATCCTGCTTCTAAATAAGTGCAAGGCTGCTGCTTTGGAGCAGTGGCAGCAGCGGCTCAGCCTGCCTTTCACCATCCTTGCTAGGCTGCTCTCCTGCTCCAGGGGCACCCCATAGACTTGTTGGAAGTTCTCTTGGGTGTAGATGCCGCGGTACAAGGCCAAGGTGCTCATGCTGAGGGTGGCAGGCCGGCTGACAAGATGCTCCCTCTTACCTTTTATTCTGGGCTAGACTTGACTTTCTTAACCAATCAAAGACTTGAGGAGCCAGGATTCTCCTCCCTCTGTTTTGGGCAGGAAGGAGGAGGAAGCAAAGGGGCCAAAGGTCAGTCGCCGGCCACCAGGGCTCCTGCCGCTCTCTGAGTCAGCACTCCAGACACTTTCGCCAGCATCCCTGCAGCCAGAGACTTCCCTCACTGGAACAATACCTTTCGTTCTCCTTGCTTGTCCTTGCATTTTCAGTTCAAGCGCCTCTTGTTTCAAAGCAGCTGGATTGCTTTGTTCCTCTGCCTTAGCATCAGGGCAGGGGAATTCTAACTGAACGTTCCTCGTGGCTACTTAACTTCCAGCAAATTTTCAGAAAGTTTAATATCCATATGGGGGTATCCCTGAGAACCAGCTTCAAGCTTCCTTTGATTAAAAAAAAAAAATATGCAGCAACTTGCCTGCTCAGCGGTGCATAATTCAGAGAGCCTGTTTTTCCCATGTCACTTGTCAACTCTTTTCTGAACACAATGTAAGGTGTTGGTTTAATTTCTGAACACAATGTAAGGGTTGATTTAAAGCCCTAAACAACATAGGACCTAATTCTCTGAGAGACTCTGTATCCTGATGTGAATTTGCCTGCACATTAAGGCCACCTAAAAATATATTCTTCTTGTTTGGGATCCATTCGGAGGGGTGCATAGGAGAGGATCGTCTCCTGTGCGGTTCCTAAAGCAGAAAATGTGCTCCCTTGAAAGCCAGACCCGTTCCACTTTTTGGGGCTTTTTTCACTTCAGCCAGCTCTTTTCAGCTTGGGATAGCTTTAACTGTGACTGTAATAGTTTTATCTCTTTGTACTGTATAATTAGCCCCTGAAAGTCAGAACATAAGCTGATATAATCAACTTGCTGCACATGTCACATTTGCCAGTTAACCACAGACAACCCATTATACAGATGCCTTGATTAATCTGTCTCACTAATCAAGGCATCTGTATAATGGGTTACTGTCCAATATTGCAGCTCCGACATGCAATCCCTTCCTTGCAAAAGGTGGACACCCTCAGTGTGGATAAAATAATATCTTAAAAGGAACTGAAAAGTAAACTAGATCAGAGAATCTGTGTTCTGGTCTTCTTGGCCTGTTTTAGTAGCAAAGAGGTCCAATTTGAATCCAAGTTTTGCCATAAAGACAAGGGGGAAAACACTTTATCCTCATATATGAACTATTCCAAACCTCTGCTCAAGGATGTTCTTAGCCATGAGGAAGACAAGCTAGGAACTGTACTGAATCTAATTCCCCTCCCTTGTCCCAGGACTATGAAGAATTTGTGGGGAGATAAAACCAGAGCAATATCACATGGAAAAAGAGAGAATTCCTCCTCTCCCAATATCAAGACCCTGACCTAAATCAGAGGCCCGCAGATATTCCTAAGCATAATTAAAAAGAAAAGCAGGTCAGGATCTCTCATGTTATTTTAAATTAGGTCCAGAGAGAAAAACTTGTGGAAGATGAATGAAAATGATTTGTTCTGAAAAGATTAGAACTCAGGCATCTTGGTTAGCAATATTTTAATTGTGGCTCTGATTTGTGTCTTGGCCTCTCTTTAAAAGAATATCTGTCTCTCTGGTTCTATCTTCACTATCTCTGTGCAGGTGGAGATTTGCCCAAGGACACCCAACAACTTTATGACCAAGCAAGATTTCAACCAAAGTTCCTTCCATCCCTACTTCACGAATGTACCACAATAACTCAGCAGTTTGGAGTAGTGATTAAGGCATCAGTCTAAAAACCAGAAGACTGTGAGTTCTAGTCCTGTTTTAGATACAATATCAGCTGGGTGATTTTAGGCCAATCACTCTCTCTTAGCCCTAGGAAGGAAAAAATGCCAAACCACTTCTGAAAAATCTCGCCAAGATTAATCCAGGCAATTGCAAGCCATTAAACACTGACTCAAAGACAGACACACACATAATTCTCAGAAGGGGAGAGGGCAGATCAAAGGAGTGATGCCTTCAGGCTATGTGTAATTTACTTATGGAATTCATTGCAGATGGTCGTTTTAAAAGAGTAAGATAAATTTGGAGGATGACAAATGACAATGAGTGACATTTGGTTAGGATGAAAAAAAACAGAATCCAATGACTAAGTGGTAGGTGTAGGAGGTCAAACATTTTATTCTTGAGTCTTTACTGCTTCCAGGTTTCCTTGGGCTATCCAGACAGTCCCGGTTGGAAGAATGGTGCTGGGCCAGTGGGCAGTGGCAGCAAGTCCTATGGAGGAAGCAGCAGTGGAGACAGGAAGTATCTCAGTCTTATCTGAGATGGGACTCGCATCTGTCTGTGACTTAAGCATATGTCTTTGCTCTGTCTAGACAGGGGCTTAATTAGAAGACAGAGATGGTAGCAAAGAGAGGTGAAGATATTACACTTTTCTCCCCATGTGGGAGATTATATTGACCTGAATCAAAATAAAAGGTTCTTCTTATCAGTGACATAAAGAACTGTGCCACAGTGCCACAGTGTTTTGATGTCATCACCAAGAAAGAAGAGAGAAGTAAAACCAGAATCAGTTGCTTAGCTCTCCCTTTACCAATGAACAGCAGCCAAAGCTGGCCTTATGCAAGTAAATGCTTGCTGATCTGCAGTCTACAGTCCTAAATCTAAGTCTACAGTCCTACAATCTATTCTAAGTCCTACAGTGCTCTAATTCATTGAGGTTGACCAGTTAGAAATCATACATTTGTTCAGATGATGAAATTAATTATGATCCATAACACATGGCATAACAAATGTTTTAATCATTAAGGTACCCACAAGTTTCTCATTATATTTTAGTTGGCAATCACATGCTTGCCTAGTGATGCCCCGTGTTCCCCTGCCCTTCATTGCCTTATGTTAGCTTTCTGATCAGAACAGAATTCTACAGCAATGGAAGCCACCTTCTTCTACAAACTCCTTAATTCTTATGTTCTTTGACAGCCTGAAACTGTCTATCATCCATACATGATACCTTGCAAATCTTTAAGATGCTTATCACATTTCATCTTTCTCAAGAATTCACACAAAATTAGGAAATGCATTTTATACAGAAGTTCCACAAGAAAAGGAAAATATCCTATCCTATCTCCTATGATCTTTATTTCTCTTAAAAATTCTCTCACACAAAGTTATAGAACTCTCCTAAGCGCTTCATAATTTAAGGTTTTAATTGACTGCTTATTAATTGTGCCTTCTTTTCAAAGCAGCATGTCTTGACTTTCATTTAAAAGTGTAAAGGTTTCAGAAATGTTAAAGATATAATTGAAAGGCAGAAGTTTCTCTCAGTGTCTTGATTGATTCATCTGTTATTATCAATTCTGTAAGCTGCTGAGCTTCTAAATTATTTATTTATACCTGAAATTAATGTGTATTGATGTGACTTGCATAGGCCCAAACAGGCAAAATCCTGTCTCCAAGGAGCATACGATTTACTAAGATTACACAGTTACATTTGGGTATCTTTCATTGCAAATATTGCCAAGAAAAAAAAAAATCAACTCGCTCATTTGAATACTTGGATGAGACTGCTCTAGGACTATAAACTAGATTGAAAAGTTGAAAAATCACCCCAGAAGGTAATGAGGAACCTTTCTGTATTATTGTTGTACACTACAGTTTTGTAGTAAAAAAACTGAGTTTTACTTGGCTTGAAGACATTATTTCAATCATAGCATACTTGTCTAAGTGTGAAGTGGCTACGAGAGTCTGATCACAATCAGGGAGGTCATCTCAACTTATATAGTTCACCTAACCAATTTGTGTGACAATAAAATGAAGGGAGAGATGTTACGTATCTTGGGCCACTAGGATGGAAGGTGGAAAACAAATGCAATGGGATAAAATAGTCACGGGAAGCATGAAAGCTATCAAAATATGTACAAAGAGCAGTAAGCCCACCATCTGCTGGTTCCTGCTTATATGATTACATAGGTCTTCTCAAAATCCACATGTACTTTGATCCTTCTGGTAAGCAAATTTGATGACCAGGTGAGCAGAGAGATGACCTCAGATTCTAGTACAGCGTTTCTCAACCTTGACAATTTTAAGGCATGTGGACTTCAACTCCCAGAATTCCACAGCTGTGGAATTCTGGGAGTTGAAGTCCACATGCCTTAAAATTGTCAAGCTTGAGAAACACTGTTCTAGTATCTCTATTCAAATGCAAGTCTTTGACTCAAAATGCAATTATCAGCTGCAAACAATGAATACTGAAATCACAACCTAAGAGTTTTGTTGTGATTTCACTTGACCCTTGGTGATGACATGTACATGTACATGAAAGTGGTTTACCAGTGCTGTCTTCTGGATAATTGGTTTATTGTGAAAAAGTGTTGTGGGTCTAAGAATAATTGGTACTGAAAAGGAGGTGTCATATCCTATAATCTCACAGAATTATCTGCTTTCCCTTGGAAAAGAGCAAGCAATAAGGGAATAGTAGTTTGTCACAATGGCAATGGAGAAGAAAAAGGGTCAACATGCAAATGTACTGGCATTGAAACATCTCAAATTTCCAGTCAATACTTTTACTAATATCATTAACCAGAATAAATACTTTCAGTTAAAGTACTCATCTTTTTTCAGGCAATATCATACTGATAGAAATAACCTTGCTCTTGACTATTGTTGAAGCATTGATACAGTATGGTGTAAAATGAATAGAAAACATTATCTAAGATACATTTTTAAATGTGCTCTATAAATAATGTCTTTTCTGGGCCTTGTTGATATCCAGATCTTGTAGCTAAATTCAGAAACCTTTAACCCGGCTTTCTTGGCAGTATGTTTAACCTGAGCTCTCCCTGCAAATTTGTTTTGTTTCCAGTTGCTTGGCCTTTGCATAACCTGCTCTAGAGAAAATCCATTTTTATAAACAGCTTTAAAAAAATAAAACAGCAACTCAGGCCAAGAATTGCTCTCCAAACAAATGGAGTTTTT